ATTGGAGTGAGATCCCTAGGAGAGGGAGAATTGTGCAACACCCACAAACCTAGACGAGTCGGGTTCGTGGTTCTACCTTCTATCTATTTCCTTCCTCCTCCCCCTACCACCACCGACCGTACCACCCCCTCCATCACCTTTGTCCAAACTTTCACCACCACCAAACCCCTTCTTCACCACACCGAATTCTCCAAGCCACCTCCACCTCATCGCCGGCTCCCTTACCCGAACCCCAAGCAAGCCGCCGGCTCCTAGCCCCTCGCCCTCTCTTAGATTTACTTCCTATTTTGGATTGCCATAATTTGGGCAGATTTTGAATTCAAATTCACCCAATTTGAAATTTAAAATCTTTCCCAAATTATAAAATCAATTTTAGGAAAGTTTCCAAATGCTTCCCCATTGGAATTTAAATTAATTTGGAATGAATTATCTCATTCCAAATCTAAGTATCTAATTTAAGGAAGCATTAAAGCCTCCTTAATTTCCCCCTATCCCCTTAGAGCCGTCGGCCCCCTTTCCCTATCTAAAACAAACTCCTTATTCTCCCTCCTCCCTTGGCCGTCCATACTTCATCCTCTCCACTTCAAGTTGAAGAGAAACTTCTTTCTCTTTAACGAAGTTCAAGGTTGCTAGTGATCTTCATAAGCGACCGTCATCTAGCATTCATGAATGGCCGATCCAGATATTGACTATGGCCTCGCCTACGACGAGCAGGGATTTGTTTGCATCTTGCACTCGGCCTTATTCGATGTCAACCCGCGCATCGATCACACCGTAGAGAGTACGTAGAGCGCATCTTGGACACCTTGGTCGAGGCTATTGAAGAGCAACTTAGTATCGTCCAGTGGATGATTACAACCAATCCTTGACGAAGGTCTTCTAATCTTCCTCTTATTATATTTTTTAAGGTCTAACCCTCTTCCTTGTGATTTGATTTAGTCATGAAGATCATGTTCGTCAAACTCTGCCGAGCTTAGTAAACGTAGGGATTGAGTGCACTTTATTTGTTTCTAATCTTATTGTTAGATTAAGGATTTTCGTTGAAAGCTATTATATTTGCATGTTGTTGATTTCCTATGTTATTTTGATGATTCAAAGCACTTATTGTGCAACTTAGCCCAAACGGAAGTGACCGCTCTTACATTTTATTTTGTCGTTTAATTTGCTAATAGTTCTAATCTTTATTATTCTAATCAATAAATCGTGCAAGTTCTTTTTAAGTTATTGCATGCATTTTAGTCCATCATAGCTTCTGTGATAAAAGAAGAACTTGTTCCCAAAACTTTGGTTGTTGAGCCTTCAACAATCGTGACTATTCGATTTGAATGATAAGGTTGATAGTGATAAAGGAGTGTAATGTCTCCTGTCATATGATATGATGCTCATGAGTTAATAAACCGAAGTTTTGACTGTTTTATACCTGAGTGTGGATGTAGGCTAGTAGCAGGTTATGGAAACTGTTGTTTCGTGATGTTGTTAAGCAGCAAATTCAACATCTCTAAATGCTCCTTGGTGGAAGGAATAACTTCAGCTTTAATGTATTGATCTTGCGTGGTGTTGACAGAGTTTTCCTTGCTTTCTTATGCTAATATTTTACCTTCCAATTAGTTGGTTTTCCATGAATCTTTCAATATGTCTTCTTTGTATGTCCTGGTTTGGCACATTGATCACACCATGGTCTAGGAAGAGGAGAAGAGTTGTCTGCAGATCCATGTTTTCCAATGTTTAAATCGATAATATTTGGGTAGGAAGATGAGATCTCGCTATACATAGTCATGGTTGAGTTTCCTTGATTGAAAGAGAAGATGAATTTTGTGCAAGGGCTACCGATGCTTGAAGAGAGGCTATCGGCAGGAAGATGGAGAGTTACCACCGGTTGAGGGTTTGGAAGAAAGGGAAGAAGGTTTGCCGTCGGCGCTCAGAGAAGGCTTAGGATTTTCCTAGGCTTTGATACAATGAAGAAATTTTTTAGAGAGATTCTTATATATATATATATATAATAGGAGAATAAATAGAAAGAGGGAAGACATTTAATACAATTAATTATAATAATCATATCCATGGATCTCCAACTATAACCCTTGGATTACTGCCAACGGATCTCCAACTGCAGCCCTTAGATTATTGCCCACGGATCTCCAACTTCAACCATCGGATTACTGCCCATGAATCTCCAATTGCAGCCCTCAGATTGATGCCCACATATCTCCAACTGCAACCCTCGGATTGCTGACTACGGATTGCTGATGTGGCCTTCCCTTGACTGGGTGATTCAACAAAGGTGATGCATAAGAATGTGCGAATTATAGAGGATTTAAGTTGATGCGTCATAAAAAAAAAAAAGTTGATGCATCATACTTTAAAACTTTGGGGAAAAGTTATTGAGCATAGGTTATGATGTTATACTAATGTTTCTCAAAATCAATTTGGATTCATGCCAGGTAGGTTACTATGGAAGCTATACATTTAATAAGAGGTTTGATGGAGAAGCATGGGTAGGATCTACATATGATATTTATTGATTTAGAGAAAGGTTATGATAAAGTTCGAAGAGATGTGCTATGGATAGTTTTAGAAAAGAAAGGGGTTAAAGTGCTTATACTCAAGTCATTAATGATATATATGAAGGAGTTGTTATTTTTGTTCAAACACAAGGAGGTTTTCAGTTGGATTACATTAAGGATCAACTTTAAGGCCGTATCTTTTTTGCTTTAGTCATGGATGTTCTTACTAGACATTTGTTGGAGGATATATCCCGGTGTATGCTTTTTGCTGATGATGTTCTTCTTGTTGATAAGAGTAGAGAGGGAGTTGAAAGTAAACTTGAATTATGTGAGGTTAATTTTAGAGTCTAAAAGTTTTCATTTGAGTAGATCTAAAACTGAATAGATGAGTGTAATTATATATATATAATGAGGGGATACTTTAGGCGATCAAGTCATTAGTAAGAGTATACGTTTTAGATATCTTGAGTTTATTGTTCAGAGTGATGATGAAATAGAAGAGGATATTATTAGTAGAATTCAAGTTGGATTGTTGAAGTGGAGGAATACATCAGGCCTGTTGTGTGATAGAAAAGTATCACTCAAATTTAAGGGAAATTTCTATAAGATGGTAGTGAGACTTGCAATGCTTTATAGCGCATAATGTTGGCCATTAAAAGAGAAACAAAAAATTAAGTTATATGTTGTAGAGATGAGGATGCTCAGATGGATGAGTGAATTTACTATTAGAGATAGAATGCGAAATGAGTATATACGTGAACAGGTTGGAGTAGCTCCAGTGGCATATAAGATTAGAGAGAGTCGCCTTAGATGGTTTGGTTAAACAAAACGTCGGCCTTCTAATGTCCCGATTAGGAGAGATGTTTAGATTTGACCCGGTTAGGAGAGTAGATGTATTAGATTTGACCTATGTTAAGAGAGGCAGAGGTAGACCTAAAAAAATTTGGTTAGAATATATTTGAAATGACATTTTTTAGATTTAAGTGAGAATTTGACTTTTAACAGGACACAATGGAGAAAAATGATTCATGTAGCTGAATTCATATTGTGGGATAAAGGCTTGATGTTATTGTTATTGTTGTTGTTAGTAAATTATTATGGAGGATGAATGGGTAGTTTCTTTAAGTTTGGGATGATCATTTTTGCTTGAGCATTCTTGTATTTTATATTTTGAGATTTTAATATTTTTAAAATTATTTGAGTCCAAAGTGTTTTGTTTTAGATTTGAAGGCTTTTTTAATAATATGATCTCCTTTGGTTGAGGCTTATTTTTAGGATGACCATCATTTAGGTATGATTTGAAACATTTATATTTGAAATTGGGAGCTTAAATTTGATAGTAAAGCCCTTCGACTAGGATGTGCAATCGCCATGCCTATTATCGGAGTATTTTGAATTATTGAACTTTGCTACCTCAAACCTTGTCAAGTGAGATTGCTTACTTGCAGAAGACCAGGTTGAAAATTCGGTCTTATTGCTTGAGTTTTTTTACACATTCATTGTATTATAAATCTTGTCGAGCTACCTCCATATGTAGATGACCTGGCTTGTCGATTAAAACTAGTGATTGCCAAGAATTTGTATTTTAAAAATAAATTATCCTTGGAAAAAAGTATTGAAGGCCTTCTGCAAAATATAAAATTGCTTTGCAAGATTTGTGATTGAGTACTTTATTCCTAGTGCATAATGATGTAAGTTTCTTTGATTAGATTGGGAACAGGAAAGACATATATTGCTTGTGTGCGGGATACCACGACCTCATCTCCTACCCCACCTCGTTAAGAAAAACTGTTGTAATCTTTGCATTTGCACAAAAATTGCAACATAGGATTTCTCCGCTGCATAATGGAATATCTTGATGGTTTCTATGCCGTTTATGTTTTTCTGCAGTCTTTATGATCTAAGTGATCTCTAGATCCACACGATATTGTTCATAATTTTTGTCAGCTAAAAACCAAAAATTAGAGTTCATATATTATGTTCTATTTATGAAGAAACTATTTAGTACGGATGAATACATACTTAACAAATCAAATTACAAACATTTGTATATATTGGTAATGATATGGTTTTCATATACGTGAATTTTATGAATATTGCTTATGTATGTATATCATCATTTATAGTAAGTTGAATGCTCTTGTATTTGAAAGTGGGATAGCTTATTTACTGGTCCCCTAAACAGAATATCATGCCTTAAAATGTAAATGAAGAGATACTTTGGCCATTTTTCAATAATTTTACCTAACAACTAAGCTTTTGTCTTTTTTAGCAACATTACTCTTATTCAAGCACTCTATTGTGTATGACTATTCTACTATTGATGTATTGAGTATATGCCTTACCTTTTTTGTTGCCTAAATATTGGTATTTTGCTAGGCGTTTTACTTCTTGTTTTTGTTGAAATCGATTTATCATGTTTTTAGTTCATTTTTATTTAGTTTTCGTTGTAAAGTTTAGTTTTATTAGTTGTTGCGCTTTGCCATGATTCTACAGGAAGGTACAAGTCAGGAACGTGGTTTATATCAAAGGAGTTTTGAGGAATTATTTGATTTATCAAATATGGATATGACTTCAACATGCCAATATAAATTTCATGTCACTGCCTTTGACCTCTACAACGAGCAGGTATATATATTTAACTCTCTTGCTACTATACCTCCTCAGGCCTTGTTTACCTGGAGCATCTACTGCTCCGCTTCCCACAGACTGTGATAATGGGTTGGGCTTGTAAACTTTTTTCACCGTTATGATTTTCATTTTAATGCTAATTGTTTGTATTCTGACTGTAGCCTATTATTATTATTATTATTTTCATTAATAGGTTCGAGATTTGCTGGTTAACAGTAAGAGCAGCATTTCAACAAAAGTTCGGATGGGCCTTCAAGATTCTGTTGTGGAGCTTGTGCAGCAAAATGTTAATAATCCTATAGAGTTTTCACAAATGTTAAAAGAAGCACTAATGAATCGAGGTGCAGACTCCTTGAAAGCCAATGTATCACACTTGTAAGTTATGTTCGTATGAAAATTTTTGTCATTCTAGTGCTTTTCGTTGTGGATTTATTAATTTGCATGCTTTTATCTACGTTGAATATGCGGCTATCTCCTCAGACTATTTTCCCTGTTCTTGTTTGCACTCAACTTCTTGAACGCTTCTTTTGGTCCATGATGCATATTTATGAGTCCCTTACTCATCACACTTTCTTAGGATTTTCTTGTCAACTTAGGTAAACTAATCTAATCTTACTGTTAGTTTATAAATCTGGTTTTTTTGTTGTAAATATGAAATGAGCCTCTTCATCTTACTACATTTTTATCATTAATCCAAGATAATGGAACAGGCCAAATTCTGTTACAACTTGTCTTGTAATGTTTTTGATTTAGGGGTGTCAAAATGAGTTTTCGGGCTGGGTTTGGCAGTGGCGGAGCCATAAATTTTTTTTTTTTGGGTGGGGGGAGGGGAGGCAACTTTTTTTTTTTTATATATAAATATTTTTGCTCCTTTGTAATCTACTATTTATTTCTGTTTTAAGCACCTTCATAATCTACTTATTAAGTTCTGTTTTAAGCTCTCATGCTTATGATTTTGACCTTGCAACCTGGATGTGTAAACAACCTGAAATAGTTCAACCCTATCATTAAGCATAGATTAATTTACTTATTACATCATGAAACAGCTCTATTCATATTTGACTGTTTTATACACCCTCAAGTTACTACCTTAGCAGCTATAACAAACACAAATTATATTGCAGTATGTACTTCACTATTATTTTGAAACATACAAAAATTTCAGGAGAATCTGAAAGTTAAATTGAATTATGTTAAACTTCTCAAAATACCCAAAAAAATTGCTTTAAGCAACATTTTTTCTCCTCATCTTAGTCCCTGCTGCCTGAAATCTTGCACAGTCAAGAACCTGAAGGTCAGATTAAGAAAGTTTAAATAATCAATTGAAGCACTAAGAAAAAAATTCAAAACAATTCAAATCAAACAGTTAAACAACAGAGAGCTCACATAAATAAATGAGAGCTCACAGGAATCACTTCTGTTTATCATCATTAACAACTTTCCAAAATGCAATGAAAGCTTCAGGAACATGGCTGAGCTGCTATGACAGTTATTGCAAAGGTCGAGAACTCAGAAGGATTCAACTTTTCTTCATTAAAAATGAAAAAAAAGACACAAAAGTCTATTTATGTAAATCAGTCATAAGCAGTGACAACTATTAACACAGCTTAAAAAGCAGAAAAACATTAACAGACATCACTTCTAATTTTCAGACGTGCTCTTTAGTAAGATAGGTCTGTTTTGCGAAGACAATGTATAAGACATATGTAGGAATGTAAAGCTTGGCTGGTTGGGTTAAAACCAACCGGACCCCACCTTTTATATTCTCTTTTTTTATTAGTTAATATGTTGTCCTTTTTATTTTTTAAGTAGCATTATTATTATTATTATTTTTATTTCCTTATTTACTAGTTGAAAGCTTATAAATAGAGGTTCCTTAATCCTAAAATTCAGATTTTGGGTGTTTAGAAAGAGTGCCATAGCTCTTCTTGTTCTCTGTATCATGGAGTTCCAGGTGGTGCCCGACCTCCCTTCCTCCTTCCAGACGCCCTTCGGCCCCTTCTCAGCCACAGCCGCTGACTGCTCCAACACCTCCACTCCTTCCCTCCTTCAACCAACACTCCAAGCAGGTTCCAAGAAGGCGTTAAGACTTCTTCCTGCTGGCCTGCTTCTGACTGCCCCCTTTCAGGTTGCCGCCGCCATTTCTAGGTGTGGACAGCCCTTCTTCTCTGCTTGCCGCAGCCATTGCTGTTTATCCCTCTTCCAGCCGTACAGTCCCCTTTCCTGCTGACTAGACAGTGCAAGAATCCCTTCCAAGAAGGCCTGGGGGCTGCTGTTCTTCTTCCAGCTATCAAGAAAGCTGCTTCCAATCTGTGAAGCCACTAATAACAGCAATTTCTAGTTCTTGGTTCAGAAAACAGCAGCATGATTCCTCTTTGAAACATCTCAGTCTTCAAGAAAACTTGTTTTGACTAGTTCTTCAATATTAGCCTTCTTCTCTGTCTTTGGACACATTTTGGGTGTCATTTAGACTTATAAATAATATATTCTAGATTATTTTCTTCTCTTCCTGGTTTTTGCACATATTAACATGGTCACGTAATGAGAAGTACAATGACTTCCAAACAATGTGCCAGCTGCTTAAATGTGCAATTACGAGGTGACAAGATAAATCAGCATAGATTATTTAATAGCTAGACAATGTTGTACAGAAGGTATAAATAAAATGCCAATAAATTTTGTGGGGTCTTTTAACTGCTTTATTAGAAATAAAATAGAAGTATGATGGGACAGTTATGATAAGAACCTCATTGCGCTCTAGAAGCCAATTGCAGGAGTTGCAAAAGTTAGTAAAGTGCACTTTTGCACATTTCCATATTTAGATAGTAACAAGGTTTAAAAAGTCGAAATCAGGAATCAAGATATTTTGTAGAAGCGAGGCTAGTCGTAAGCTTCAAGGCAGATCGAGGCATAAGCCTCAAAATGGGAAAAGAAAGTATTAAAAAATTATAAATAACTCATAAAAATGAAACAAAATTAAGTAAATTATAAACATATTGACTTGTTTGAAAGTAAATGCTATTGAAATACAAGATTCAAAATAAATATTCAGTCTAAAGATATCAAATTTTCATGCTAAAGTAGGTTTAAAATACACAATAGTGCATCTTAAAAATGGGAGAACCAATTTCAAGAATTGTACTTTTGATGCAGTTTAAAGCATCAATTATTTATGGTTTTTATGCGGCCCTTCCGCTTTGTGCAAAAGAGTTTTTTATTCCACATAGTTTTGAACAAATAGTGGCATAACTTCTGAAATCTAATTATAGGAAAATCAATTTATCTAAGTATAATTTTGTAGCATTTTTCTACTACTGAAATAATATGCAAAAGCTATATTTCAGTATTGCTAGGCACATGCAAGTGCTATTGAGAAATGCATAAATGGAATTAAAATTAACTTTGAAATAATATTTGTACACCTTATCAAATAGTTCAAAACAATAAAAACTCAACATCGCATAAATCATGCGAAGTAGGTCGAAAGGGAAAAAAAGCTCATTACCTTCACAATTCACATGATGCAAGAGAAACCAAAGCAACACTAGAAAGGTTGAAAGATCGTTACGTTCTCTACGAGTTCCTATTGGAACAAAACTTTCAAAATTCTACTTCTCAAAAAATAGTCGAAGCCAACACAACGTCGAAAGGGAAGATGGATTGTCACCTTTGCTACAAAGAGATCAACTTGACATGAAGAAGCGAAGTTGAAGCAGGTGAAGCCGAAGCAATTTACATGAGCGAGCGATTGTTACCTTCTCTGAGAGCTGCCAAAAGAGGTGAAGGGACTTCTTGAACAAGTTTCTAAGCAGCCCTAAATCTATTAGCTATGATTTGTCCAAATTTTTAAAAAAGCAACAACAATTGAAACGAGGCAGCACCTCAAACTGCCTTAAGGTGTACGCATCAATGAAAAAAAAGTGTTAAGCCTTGCTCGAACCAGTGAGGCTTAAGCCATGATCCAAGTTGCGCCTCGAATCAAGGCTAGGCTTGAGGCGTATGCCTCAAATGCCTTTTTAAACCATGGGCAGTAAACAAATTTCATCAAATTCATTAGATATATGTTTGGCATAGTTTTCTACTACCAGCTTCTGCTTTTTTGAACTACAGAAGTTTTAGAAGTTTTAGGATGTTTTGAAAATGATTGAAAGTTGATAAGCAGCAATAATTGGTCATAATTCCACCGAGTAAAAACACTTATTTCATACCATTCACAACATCAGAAATGTCTTGCTTGAGCTAATCTTCGATGGATTGTGGGCTGACTATGTTGGACCAGTTGGTGTAGGTGACGGAAGAGTAGTTAATAATTTGCATTTTATTCTGGATAAAAAAAGAGATCTTAACCCTATATCTTAAAACCTATCGATCAATGCTGAGAAACAAACTCTCCATTTTTTGAAATGAATATTTGCAGAAGTGCTTCAAGCTCCTTCCCAGCTTCATATGATTTGCACAAGGTAAGATCCTTAGGAAATTGAGAGAAATGAGATCTTAGATGTCAAATTCAAGTGTATGAACAAACAAATCAAATTGAAGAGTAGATATGATTGACAACTTCCCTTGACTTCAAGCTCCCAATTGAATGGCTCAACCGGGCAATCATCCAATAAATGAAGCGAGCATAGATATATCATAAATATGATTCCTAAACCATAAACAAATATGAAAACTCAAGAGCCTACCACAAACATCAACTATTAAAAGTTCTACATATAGCCAACAACAAGTTTATGTTCCACAACAATTGCGTAAGAAATTCCTCTCCAACTACACAACTCTGCTGATTGAACTATCGCCATAAACAAATATCTCAAACAAGTTTATGTTCCACAACAATTGCGTAAGAAATTCCTCTCCAACTACACAACTCTGCTGATTGAACTATCGCCATCTTCGCTTTTATTATGATTAACGTTTTAGTTCATGATATTCTCTATGATAAAGCCAAGTTTAGGATCATTTATAACTACAAAAAAAGCAAGAAAAACTTCAAACAAATTTATATAATATATAAATAAAAATGCTATTTCAAGTTAATTGATGTCTTACCTTGTTCTCCATATAACCATTTTTTTGCACAGACCAATGATTCGATAATAGCTTGCTTCAATGCAATTCGTTATTAATACTGTGGTAATATCATGCTTTAATGTACTTCGTTACTAATCCAGTATTCCACCGCTATTGCTAAATGCATTTTAAAAAGCTACTGTAGAAATTGAGATGCACAGAACATCATGAGCGATAGCTGAGACTTTAGGAACTATGTACCGATTATCTTTCCAGAAATTTTAGATATCTAAATTGACTTTTCTATTAAGCAACAAGATAAATTTCAAGTTAAGACTTCTTGGTCATTGTTATTTGTTCCTCGAATTTACCAAAATTATGTTCGTGGAGTTCAAAGCATGCATCAATAAGTTGGGAAAAAAGGAGTTGTAGAAATTAAACTATCCATAAACACATAATTGTATTTATTTAAATAGAATTATTGATGGAAATTGTGATTTTATAATTATTGCATAAAGTCTTTTCATATCACTTGGACAAATTTATGTTGCTACTAATGACTATCCTTTGAACCATGCTTGCCAACTTTTGAATAGTTATAAATAATGAATATAACTTATCCCTAACCTTTTTAATTTAAAAAACACAATAATTGCCATATAGTTTCTTGTAATACCATTTAATAAAGTTAAATTGATATCTGTGATCAATAATAATAGCTATTACTAAGATAACACGAAATTTTTATCAATACATTGCAAATTTGGAAAACATTCAAGTTGCCATTTTTTATGTAGTTATGCCCACTTCTGCATAAGCAGTAGAGATGCAAGAGAAATAGATATTTACAGTTGGATATTTTGAGCTAGAAATGAATAAGTTATCTCATAAAAAGGAGCTAAGAAATTGCATATTCTCTCCATTTTGTCCCCCTCAATACTACTATATGATTTTTCATTAGAATCACTCAACTAAATGCAGAAAATCACGTCTATAATTAATAACACTGTCAAGCATAGTGAAAGTGGAGTTCTATTTAGTTGGAACATCTTGTCTTCAGCCTCTTTTTGCATCAGTTTGGAGTTTTTTGCTATCCACTTATTTATACCTCAGCATTCACTGACTGGATTCTGTGAGAAGCATACCAAAAAGTCTATGTTATATAGCAGTTCTTCTACCTCTATTTCTTGTAAACTTTTTCCATGTCAGAAAAACTAAACTTTAAAGGAGCATGTTATAAGTTAAAAATCAATGCTCAGTTAGTATATTCAGCGGTTATTAATCTTTTCTTTAATGCATATCTTTTTTCAACTGCTTATAGGGTTGTCACCATCCATATATTCTATACTAATTTGGTCACAAGGGAAAATGTCTATAGCAAACTTTCTCTTGTAGACTTGCCTGGTAGTGAATGCTTTCTTGTTGAAGATACCAGTGGAGATCAGGTCACAGAGCTTCTACATGTGTCAAAGTCACTTTCTGCGTAAGTTTTTGCTGTAGTCTTCTCTCTTTCATAATGCTTGTTTTATTCTAAGATGCAAAATAAGGTTAAGTGCCTGACATGCAAGCAAGTAATCAAGCTTTATTTGCTGTTATTTGTTATCCAGGCTGTTTGTTGCTGTCTCTTGCTTTGTATCTCTTCTCTTTGTATATTGGATGACTAAATTATATAGAGTAGAGTATAGGGAAAAATATAAGTTATTGACAACTAAATATAGTGTGGAAAAAGTAAAATGTTAGGATATATGTGATAAAATTAGAAAGGATAGAGGGATATGGCTATATTAGTGATATGACCAGTTTAGCATCTTAAATAAGATATTTGACTGGTTGGTTTGTGATGTAGAATGAAGGGAGAAGTACCCATTAATAAGAAGTGCATGTAAAATTGATGTAGGATAACTATGAAGAAAAATTTATCAAAGTGATAAACATCTTATATAACTGATATGCCGCCGGCCCAGGAGGGGCCGGCTGGATCGGTCCAGCTGGTCCTGGTTTACTCCAGGTAGCGGAAGAGCCAGGGAGGGGGGCGAAACTCCTATGGGGCCCATGATGGACTGAATGCAATTTTTGGGGTGAAAGATTTGAATTTAAGGGGTAATTAGGTAATTTGTAAGACTCCTTTCATGTTAATCAGGGGGATAGGAGGGAATGAGGGTTATCGGGAATTTGAAAAGCTATTTGAGATCTCATTGTGTGTGCTTGGGCTCTAGGGTTTGCTAGAGACTTTTGGAGAGTGGTTCTTCCTCTCCAATCGAAGAACGTTGTATCTTTCTTTGTTTTCTTGCATCTATTAGTGAAAACCTTGTTTCTTTTCCTTACTTTTCACTGTTTGGGTGCATTTCCTGCTGTGAAGTAGCTGTTCAACTGCTGGGACAGCAGTTTTTCTCACTGTTTTGGGCTAATTTCGACTAGGTTTGCTTGCGAACTCAAGTATTACCTTAGGTTACTTGCGAACTCAAGTATTTCCTATCACACCACCATCGGTTGCTGTTGTATTTCAAATATTGATTTTATTTTCCAAGCAACCAAACACAAAATAGTTAAACTTCTAAATTTCTTTTACAAGCAACCAAACACCGACACACTATTTGAAATATATAATTTTACTTTACATTGTATTTTGAATACATTGAATTTTAAAATGCTTGCAACTAAACGGCCTCACACATGCCAAAGTTACAAGATCTTGAAGCAGTTATAATGTGGTACATAACTTTGCCCGATTTGCCATAACAAATTGAGGCAGTAAAATTAATTATGTAAGATTGATTTCAAGTTAAATCTACCTTCTCAGAGGGTGAATCACCAGAGTGAAACAAGTTGTTCTTGGTGGTGTTTGCCCTCGTCTGCAATGCGAAGAACCCTTCGAGTTGCTATAATGATGCTCTCAACAGAGATTACCTGCATTTAAGCCATGTTTGAAATTAGCAACCGCTATGATATGATCCACAACAACTTTAGCAAGCATTTAAAAGTTCATTTCAAAGTTCTAAAGTTCATTTCTACTACAACAATATTAAAATCAAAAGATGCCAGATTATGAATATAGGATTGGGATTCTCGTGCAGATCCCTAATAAAAGGATATCATCTCTCTTTCAATGGGCTAAGAAAATCTTCCCACAATGGAGAGCAATAATAAGTTAACAAAAAGGAAAAATAATGTTTAAAACATATGCAAAAATATGTTCTATGCTTAGAGCCACCTCCTCTCCTTCTTTCTTCTTAAAATGTGAGAGGAGTGCTAAAATCAAGAAAGGCCATGATTTGCAAAGGCGCCCATTCCGTATGGTGTAACCTAGTGTGCCATAGTTATTGTATCTATACCAGTTAAAATCTAGTAGGTGTTGAGTTTAGTGACCCTAATTAATGCTCCCATAAACCACATAATATCCCAATTTCCAAAAAAATCCGATAGGTCCTTGATAGGAAACACCTGAAGATCTTAAGTGAAACATAATGATCTTGACATAATATGCTAGAATATTCAACAACTAGAGGAAAATCAAAGAAAACAACATACTTTATTGAGAAAAATCAACTAACAGAAGAAAAACAAACAAAATACAAGTGATCCTCAATTCGAGAGGATCGATCTCTCTCGATTCTCTAGACGCTGCTAGAGCCCAAAGGAAACCTAAACCTAAGAGGTATCAAATTTCAGCCAAATTCAAGATGCCGTAACCCTAGGAAAACCAACTATTTAATGCATAAAATTCAAAAGGAAATCTCTAAACAGTCCCTAAATTCAAATTTCCCTCATAACTCCCTCAAAAATCCTTCCAAAACGGCTTCGTCAAACCTGGGCGGTCGGCTCCTGCGTACAGGAGGCGGAAAACCTTCGCATGTTTCTCCCGTAGGCTGGTTTACTTCTGGTTTATATGGTCCCCGTGGACAAGGGAATACATACTTAAGGAGGCTTCTTGGGTCAAGGATCAAGTTGAACTGCAATTTGGGAAGCCATCCACAATATAAAATTTGCGTATAACATTGCAACATCCTTAAACAATACTTTTCTCTTGAGAAGCCTCACATTAAGAATGTAAGACTTTGATGAGGGCTACATGTCTTGTTATTGATTATCTGCTGCTTGCTTTGCCAACTGAAAGTACTCTCTTCTGTCCCCCATAAAAATCATGTTGGCTCTTTGAAAGCTAACAATTACACACATGATTTCAAGAAGTTTCAAGATCATACGATCAACTGAATGTGTCAATATGATGCTTGATAATCTTTGTTTTTTTAACATGCTTATTGGCTGATAAAATTATTATAATAAAATTTGAAACTTGACCCACTAGTAAGTTTAATATTTAATGGCGTGTCTTGAATTTGAAGACATTATCTAATTATTAATTAATTATAATAAAATAATTAATTATAATTATAATTAAATAATAATTAAATATAATTAATATTAATAAATATTAATTAAATCCTCCCCCTTGCTCTCGGTTTGGGGATTTACGGGGGTTGGCCGAAGAAGAACACGAATGGGAGAAAGTTACTTTCACGGTTTGCGAGCTCCCGTTCAGGTTCCGATCAAAACGTCTAACTTCCGATCCAGGGGCAAGGGAGGATCGTCAAAGGAGCAAAGTCGGACCAGCCGCGGGAGTCGAAGAAGCACGGACTGGAGAAAGTTAACTTCACGGCCGAGCGAGCTCTGTCTCGCTTCCGATCAAAATGTCGGTCTGCCGGTCCGACAGGAAGGGAAAGTCGTTTGAAGGAGCGAAGTTCGACAGCCACGAAGAAGCCGCCGAAGGGGAGAAGGTTAGCTTCACAGCGAGCGAGTCCCGTCGCTACTTCCGATCAAACAGCCGTAACTTCCGATCCTACCGGAAGGGAAAGTCGGGGAAGGAGCGGAGCCGATCAGCCTTCGAGCTCGCAGGAGAGACTGGGATCGGGAGAGGAGGGAATCGGACAAAGGGAGGAGGCGGCAGCTTCAGTCGTTTCTTCCGATCAAAATGTTGAGACTTCCGATCCGGCATAAGGGGAAAGTCGTCGACGAGAGCGAAGTCGCACAGCCACGACGGGGTCGGAGGGAGAGCGGGAGTTCGGAGAGGATTCGGGAAATTGGAGCGGGGGAGAGGCCGAAGGCCTCGATCCCTTTGCCCTTTTAACGACGCGGGCTCGTCATGCAGCGTTGTGGTGGATGCGACGTCGAGTCGTGCGAGGAGTGGCGACGACAGAGGAAGTCGTGCGAGGCGCGACGTGGGAAGCGACGTGGTTCGGCAGAGCAGGTAAGATTTGATTTTTTTTTTGTTTCAGTCTTGCGGGTCAACAGATAGTTTTACTTCCCTCTTTGGGGTTTAAGGTTGAATTTAAAGTTCATCATACTTTACTGAATTGCTTTCTGCTTATGATTTCAGTTCTCGAAATATACTTTGTTTGGCAATGCTATTATTTTCTATGTTGCTTGGAAAAAAAATTGTCGCTATATTGACAACGATGGACGAGCCATTCCCGGGGGAGGGTTGCGTCCTGCTCAGTGTCTATCAAACAAACCAAAATTGCATTGCCTGTTTTTCGCACTGCTTTGTGTGTGCTTGCATTTTTTTGCAATGCTTTTTTTAGTTTATTTTCTTAATTTCCTATTACCTTGAGAAAATTTTCATGTTTATTCAAAATGTATGTACTTTCTTCATTATCCATTTTAGAGTGTCATTGTTGTGGTAAATAATTGAGTGTGTCAGTTAAAAAAATTCATTAATTTGTTCATTGAGCGTGGGAGTATGGCTTACCCTCTCTATCTTTTATTTTTGATCTCATCAATACGTCTCCTGCTTGTTTAGTTATTTCTATTGAGCAATGCATTTTTTTGTTGTAAATTAGTCCTAGATTTGCAGTACTTTGTTTCATGAAGATGTTTCTTTAATGTTAACACCTCATTTATGGGTTGATTTGACCGTTAATTCTTCATTAACAAAGTTCATTATGCTATCATCCTTAGGCTGAAGCATTTCCCAGTTCGTATTTTATGTTAAATTTGGAAGTGGAGCTTTTTAACTTCATGTGCAAGTCCTAGTGGTTGAGTTATGAAACATATGCATGCTTGTGGAAAATTACTGATATTTATTAAAACTTTTTACCAATAACTGTTTCTGGTTTTTTAATCTAAACCTTCTGCAAGCTAATACTAGGAAAATGATCTATTTGTCTTTTACTGATTTGGCGTTTTTTATGCATTCTGACAGCAATTTTTTGTCCGATTCTTTTGTAGTTTTGAATGTTTCTCACATCATTATTTCTGGGAATTAGATTGGGGGATGTTTTATCATCCTTGACATCAAAGAAGGAAACCGTGCCATATGAGAACTCAAGGCTCACCAAAGTACTTGCTGATTCTATGGGTAACTTAAAATCTCTTCTTTGGTTTCATTTCCATTTCTTTTAATTTAAACTTTATGCCCCCAGTTGTGTTATCTATTACTTTTCATATGATGTTAGAGTAATTCTACGCTGCCTGACCAATCTCCCAAATAAATGTGCTGATGTAGTGGCAGCTTATGCAGAACTGATGTCTTGATTAACATGCTCTTTATGTGCATTACCATCAAAATACAAACTTCATTAACATGAGGTGGCCATCTCATTTAGGCTTGTTTTGGGAGATTGTTCGGGCAGTCTGTCATTACTCATGGGCATTATTCAGCCGGTGATGTTTTTGATGTTGTATTTTTTTGTTTAATTATTGCTGAATAATTTCACGTAAACTGGTCTGAAACACTTATAGTTTGATTCCTGGATGATCATGTGATTTTTAAAGCGCATCTTTATAGTGGTATAAACTGCTTTGTTTAGGAATCTTGTCCTTAGAAGATAAGATAATAGTAATATTGATTTTCTACTGCTTAAATACTCCAATTTTGTGTCCTTTAGGAAATAGTCAATAGCATTTCTTTTGTGTATTTGCCATTTATCTCAATTGTTGTTTCTAAAATACAAAACAAATGACTGGGAAATTCAAATATGTTGTGTTGTTTTTTTACTTTTTTTTTAAATGATCAATATTCATTCTTTTATATTTTACTGTTTATTTTTTTATACTAACCATTGGCTGCCTTTGTCCTGTTACTTTTTTGCTTTGCAGGTGGTAGCTCAAAGACGTTGTTAATTGCTCATGTTTGTCCTAATTCTTCAAACCTAGCAAAAACACAGTGTGCCCTTAACTTTTCTGCGAGGGCAAGAAATGCAGAGCTAAGCCTTGGAAACCGAGATACAATCAAGAAATGGAAAGATGCGGTGAATATATTGCTTCTTTCTTATACTTTTTTATGTGCTTTATTATTTATTTTTAAACATCTTTTAAATATTTATTAGCCAGGTTTAGTTTTTAATGTCATTTGACTATAGGCAAATGACTCACGCAAGGAGCTATATGAGAAAGAGAAGGAGGTCCAGCTTCTAAAACAGGAAGTTTTTGGACTAAAGTCCGCTCTTAAGGATGCCAATGATCAGTGCATTTTACTATTTAATGAAGTTCAGAAAGCCTGGAAGGTTTCATTCACGCTGCAGGCTGATGTTAAGGTCCTCTAACTCATTCTTTTTTTAATGCCTGCAACCTTTTATGTGCTTTAAAGCTAATTGCATATGAGGAATATCTCTTTAATGACACTAAATGTTTTGTACATTGTGTAAGTAGATGTTTGTTGATGCAATTTTTGTGTCAACTCGATTCGGGTCGAGTCAAATCGGACTCGATCAGGTTCGATTGAACCCAATCAACCAAGTTGAGTCATGTCGAACCCCAATTCGACTCAAATCGGCATCGATTCAAGTTCAATTCATCAAATTGAGTCGATCGAACCAAATCAAACTTAAATTAAGCTCAAATTGATTCAAATCGAGCTCAATTGGGTGAAATCTGACTTAGCTCGGGTCCAAGTGGATTCAAAATAAGTCCAATTGAACTCCAATCAATTCCCAAATAAAAAAATTGAAATCAATGGCCTCGATCGTCTTGATTTTCACAACGTTCATGTTGCTTTCTTGCCACATATGCTGATTTCTACAGCTGTAGCAGGGATCGAGTGGCATGAGATCATATCGAGCAGAGCAGGGGTCATTTCGTGCATAATAGAGGAAGCGGGAATAGGGGCTTCTTCATTCTGACTTCTCTTTTTTTTGTTCCATGTGGGTTGGGTATGCAATTTTCTACATTTGATGGACTATATTAAATGAATGATTAAACTATCGGGATTGACTATGTAGATTTTCTACATTCATTCATATTAAGTATTACATGAGGTGTTAACCTTATTTTGCATTAAACTTTTTCATGATTTTGAACCATACCTTTTGTTCTTTCCTTATTTTTCCTTTGGTGAATCGTTTGCTATGTGTTGCACCGTTTTGCATGCCTAATTGGCTTTTGTTTATTTTTTACCATCTTATATTTTACAGGGGCTGCACTACTGTTATAACATACAAATTTCTTATTCTTTCGTATTTTTATCATACATTTATATTAATTTTCTTATATTTGCTACACTTAATGTAGATATGAATGACTTTTTTGATGTCAGGCAAGTAAATTCACATAGCATTGCTGGTTTAATTGCAATTTTAAAACATCTGCATTTGAGCCTTCATGATATTTCCTTTATGCTAGGATACTTGCAAGGGACATCCCTATTTTAACTACTCAGCTTAAAAGCTTTCCCATTTTAGTTTCTTGCAAGCATGTGCGCATTTTTTTGTTCTCTTGTGATTGTTTCTGTCAATTATTTATCATTTTCATTATAATTCTCCATATTCATCTAGGTAATTTAATCTTATTTTTTACATTAGTCAATCTATCAGCTTTTTAGCATAATTTGTTCAAGTTTTAGGGCATCACTTTTAGTTGGTGTCCCGACCAGCCCATGAAATTTGTCTCCATTATTGAGTTAAGCTGTTGACTATTGTACTACACTTATGAGTGATGTCTAAGTTCACACTTACCACTTCTCCCTTTATTTGTATGAGACATTGCTTAGGGGGAATGCACAAACACATGGAAATATCATGTCTTACCTATTTGGATAATCTGCCAATCCAGACATGAGAAGATTATTTGAGGATATATGGAGCTTTTCTTAGTCTACATATATATATATATATTTTTTTGTTTTTTGATTTTTAAACATAGTTTAGATCTCAATGTATACTTCCATCTTAAGGTCCTTTAATAAAAAAAGAATTCCTTATGTCATGTTGATATAGAGGCTAGTTTAAATTTTCCATGAAAGAGCAAAACTCAAATTGTATTGACCTTGACAACTAGAGAGAAGGTTTCTTGATGGTCAATATCATATTATTATGTGTATTCTTTACAACAAATCAGGTTTTGAATTTATCTATACCCTCCTATGCTTTATATTTGATTGTAAAGATTCATTTGCATCATAAAAGCTGTTTTTCTAGTTGAAGTTTAAAAACTTCAGGCATACCATTTTTTGAAGGTAATGCTTTTTTCCATTACAGTTTTCTTCCACTTGAGGGTTTTGAAAGCTTTAGAAATATTGTTTGGAATATGTATTTTATCTAAAGAACTAAGAAAACACGAAATCTTAGTGAATGCCCTTTATTAACATGAAATTATATATTGAGTGCTTGGTGCATGACATAATCTCTTTCTTGAGAGCAATAAGATAAGAGAGATCAATATCATCATCTATGAATTTATTCTCAACACTTAATATTTTATTATTTCAGAGTGATGGTGAAATAGATGGGGATATTTTCAGAAGAATTCAAGTTGGATGGTTGAAGTGGATGAATGCATCATGCTTGTTGTGTGATAGAAAAATCCCCCTCAAACTTAAGGGAAAATTCTATAAGATGGTGGTGATACCTACAATGTTTTATGGCGCCGAATGTTGGCCATTAAAAGAGAAGAATAATGCTAAGTTAAGTGTTGCAGAGATGAGGATGCTCAGGTGGATGAGTGGCTTTACTCTTAGAGATATGACACGAAATGAGCATTTTCGTGAAAAGTTTGGGGTAGCTCTAGTAGAAGATAATATTAGAGAGAGTTGCCTTATATGGTTTGGTCACATAAAATGACGGCCTTCCGATGACCCGATTAGGAAAGAGGTATTAGATTTGACTTATGCTAAGAAAGATAGATGTAGACCTAAAAAGACTTGGTTAGAGAATATTAGAAATGATCTTTCCTTATTAGATTTAAACGAGAATTTGACTTTTAAGAAGACACAATGGAGAAAATGAATTAATGTAGCTGACCCCACGTAGTGGGACAAAGGCTTGATGTTGTTGTCGTTGTACTTAATATTTTATTGGTCCTTAAACTAGGTTTGGGTTGTTGGGGGTGTGTTAGAGATATGTTTATAGCTCCTCTTTCGGGTTTTCTTTTCCTTCTAAGTGTTGAAGTGAAGCTAATTCTCCATAGGTTGGATGTATTGGCATGATGATGTTGGATTTCACATGCTTCTGGTGAGGCTCTAGCTGGTTGAATAAGGAGTAATAAGAAATATTTATTATTCATGGGTTTGATGAGAGATAATGGTGGATGATAAAATAGTTTAAATATTGAGATTTTTGTTCTTGAATTTTACATCAATGATGTTAAACATGTCTCCTTGGATTTTCTTAATGACAGAAAATCCAAGTATGATGAATTTTTAAAATTTTAATGAAAAAAACATCATCGTCCGCAATCAATCTCAGTCCAACATCTAAGTTACCAAAATTGACAATACCAATTATACTTACAATTGATCTTAGAAAATTATCCATTAAATTAAGGGATTATCCAACAAAATTCCTAAGTTGATTCCTCAACAAAAAGGGGATGCTGGAAGAAAAAATAGAAACCTCTGCAAGGCTAGATTAAATATGTTTTCCACAAATATTCCTAAATTCCTTAATGGGCAAAAGATGTCCAAATAGCTATATTTTTCATTAATCGAATACCCCTAAAAACTTAAATTTTAAACACATGTTCAAACCCTTCTTTACTTATCTCCAAAGAACAAAATCAACTCTTCTTTTCATCCAAAATTTTTTGGGTGTTCAATCTTCATTCACACTCCTTATAGCACTAGAGCAAAGTAGACCTAGCCTTTATATTGCTTTTATTTTATTTTTTAATTTTTTAACTTTAATTTTCTTAAAATATTGCGATTTTAATAGTTTAAGGCTTTTAAGCATCATATAACTGAAAAGCCATGTTGTTTGTGATTTTTGAAGATATTACTGGTTTTTAATATTAAATTGCACAATTAAAAATAAACTTTATGTTTGTGTGTGATTTTTATAGTTTAAAGGCTGTGTTATACTTGATTATCAGCTTGAACATAATCGAGCTGGTATTATTTCAAAATCATAGGATGACTGGGCAAAACAGCTTATTTGTTCCGGATTTTTACTATTGTTTAGGAAAGCAAATTTACAATACATATTTTATGATGTTGTCATGGCTCTGCAGCATAAATGCGAATTACAAACACAAAGATGCTGAACACTTTAATTAAATCTCGTCAAGCTGCTGTCCTTATTTTTTCAATATGTACTGTTTAAATAGGCTTAAGGTGATTCTAGCCATCTTAATTATTTTTCTACAATTTACATGATCGGCTACCCTTTATCATAAAAGTAAATGATTCCCTACTTTTTCATATTTTCATTAAATCCTGAAGCAAATTGATACTCTTATACTCTTTTTTGAATTAGAATAGCACTTCGTTTTGAAAGTAACGTGGTCTTGGTTTTGAAAGCTCGCTTGAAATAAAATGCTGTGATTGTATGGTTTCAAACAAAGACTAGCTTCTGCAAATCAGTGCAAATAGTGGTTTGTTGGAGAGATCTATCAGTCATGTGCGTCTTTGCTTATCTATGTAGAGAGATGGTTTTTTTGCTGCATGGACTCTGAATTCTTTCAATTTGGTTCTGATGCAACTTTGTGCTCTTAATTCTCTTAGTTGTCTTGCAAATCTTTCTTGAATAATGGAGAGCTGCATGATTTTTACTAATTTCTTCTGAGAATAACTGTATAGTTAGGAGAATAAAAAGAATGAGCGGGCGATAGAAACATTTGCATTATATATATGGAAGTGTGTGTTCATACAACAAAAATGGCAGATGTGTCTTCTGGAACGCCATTATCTGTTGGCATTTTATTGGATGTTGGTGATATAAACCTTTATTTAGATTGGTTGTCTTATTCATTTTTATTTCTCATCTTTAATAAGTTTAACTGTTTTTGTGTTCTCTAAGTTTCACGACACCTGCTAAGCATAGAATTAATGCATTTGCTAAAGAATTCATTTGCAGATATATATGCTTTTGAATGATGTACTGTTAATGATGTATTATTCCCTTTGCTTGAACGCTGGAAAAACCTTCAAATGATGTCATATTTTTTTTTTCTTTTTACGTTTTGTTAGTCTCATGGATGCAGGAACTTTAGCTGTAATCAATACTCTAAGTAGACGTTAGTTAAGAATCAAAAGACTTATTTCACCTTACCTCATGTATCATTCTTTTCTCAATGGACTCCTTTACATTTAAGCATAGATATAAAATCCGTGGGCTATGTAATAAAGGTTTAGTAGGAAATGTGTAAAAAGAAGAATTATGGAGGACCGGCAGGAATGTCTAATTTATTGGCTTTAAAATTTTTTATGATCATCTACCAATTTATTTTCTTTTTCCTCCGTAGGTTTGTCTGTAGCATACTATAGCTTGATGCGCTTTTTCTTGAAGTTTTGTGGTTTATTTGCAAACTTTTAGGTCTGTCTCTTTTTGTCAACTTGGATTTTCTTTAGTCAAACACTCAAACTTTAGTTGTGTAAATAGAAAGATTGAAATTCACATACTAAAAACTAATTTATCACGTGAAATTAATATACAATATCCTGCTTTTAGGAAGGATGAAATTTAGTTTTCATAGAAAATGAAGCTTTGACATCCCCATCTTTTGTTAGTCTTCCATTCCCCCACTCCAACACATAAACCACCAACAAGTGCTGAGAGGCAGCATTTGAGCAAGATGTGTATTTGATTGCGTTTGGCTCGCACACACATATTTGGATGTTTTTCTGTGTTGGGGTTTTTATGTTTCTATGCCTCATTAATTTTTTTTTCTTCTGAATTTGGTCCTCTATTGCATCTTGATACTTTCTTACATTGCTTTTTTCTGTGAGCTTTGAAATCTGAAATGTTCATAATTGCCTTCTGCTGTATGGCTTGAGTTAGTTTTTGCCAACATTTGCTGGCTATTTATCAGACGTTTTTTTTTAACTGCAGTCTGAAAACACTATACTTGCTGAGAAGGTCAAGCTCGAGAAAGAACAAAGCGGTCAACTGAGGAATCAAGTTGCTAGTCTATTACAGCTTGATCATGAGCAGAAAATGCAGATACACCAACAGAATTTGACCATACAGAATCTGCAGGTTGTACTTCTATCCTTAGAGCACTGAATGTATTAAATTCTCGTTATTTGGATAATATTTCTTTTTGATGAGTTAATATTTGTAATAATACTGTGACTGATCTTGATTTGCTTTTTTTGTACTGTCTGGGTTCAGTTTTGATGTTGTGTGCTTCTGAAGTAGAAATGAACAGATTCATGCTGTACCTTCCGTGTGGAATTAGAACAGAACTAGGTGTCCTGATGAATTATGCAGGGAATAGCAAATTTTTGTTGAGTATTGCTTTGGTGTATATATATATATATATATATATAAATAACTGAAAATAAGGTCTCTTTGTACGAGGGATTACTTAATAATTTCAGGGTCTAGGAGTTAGTTTGAATTGTTGCCATAAGGATCCACTCTCGAAATGGACATTATCGAATGGTTTTTTTTTAAGCAAATTTTATAGAAGAAAATGATTTGTTCCTGTAAAGGAAAATTACCAAGAATTTTTACAAAGAAAAGAAAACCGCACTAGATAAGATAGAGATTTTATGTTTGTCTGGGAAATAGAATCCTTAGTTGCATGAAGACTGCAAAAAAGATTTATTTGGATCGTTTTACTTAAAGACCAGTGAAAAGATGTGAGTGAAGATACATTTCCTTTTTGATTCATGCCTCTTGTAAATTTAATCTGAATCTCCTATCCACCGTAACCTTGATCTTAATAATCATAAGGTTGCTGATGCGGACATCGGCACGAAAATCTGATGCATCTATCACAGGAGGCGTCGTAAATCGACGGCTCTGATTTAAGTTATCATTTATGAATTATTTTCTGCATTTTAGTTTCTATTTTTATGTTATTTCCTGTTTTACCCCTAGGTTAATTTATTTGAGTGTTGTAGCCCAAGGGGCAATTTTGTAATTTTTTTTATTTTCTCATATTGTGGCCTATATATATGGCCTTTAGCTATTGTAATAGGATGGTTAATGAATATGAAAATTTGTGTTCCACATTTGTTCTTCTTGTGAGAGAGCGTTAGTGGGATTCCTATGGGAAGGAATCGAAGTTGTCACCAGCCGCAGGATGGGTCCGGGCTCGTGATTTGAGATCCCTTGGAGAGGGAGAATCGTATCACCCACCAACCTTGGAGATGGCCGGGTTCGTTGTTTTATTCTTTTCGTTATCTTTTCATTTTCTCCTTGTCGACATCCCCATCTCCTTCTTCCACCGCCACCGGCCCCTTCCTCCTTCCCATTGAACCGCCAGTTTTAACAACCCCTCCATCACCCCAACCAAGAACCCCCACCTTTGCTCCAATTATTAATTGCCTTTCCTAAATTGGAGGGATTAAGTTAACGAAGGATTTGAATTCAAAATTCAAATTTGAATTCAAATTTATTTATTGCTTAATTCATTCTTAATAATTAGGCATTTAATGATGTCATTAATTCTGAAATAAAAATCTCAGAATTTTGAATTCAAAAAAAAAAAAAAAATCCCGCCGGCCTCCCTTAATCTTTCCCTTGTAATCAATTAGTTTCCAATTAGGGAAGAGCTCTTCATTAATGTAAATTTGAATTCCAAAATTTGAATTCGAATTAGCATTATTCACACCATTAATCTCTCCCACCATTTAAGCCAATCGTCATTAATTCTCAAATCTGAATTTAAATTCAGATTTAAGACATGGCTTGGATTTAGATTTATTTCCTTAAGTCAATTCTCTTTTTTTGGAAATATTTCAAAATCCCTAAATCTCTTCCTAACCGAATTGTTCAAAACCTGAAATTAGCTTTGGAAATAAATCCTCCCCCATATTCACGTCACCCTCACATTCCAAGTAATGTTGCCCAAGCATCCCCTCATTATATCTTGCCAAACTCATTTTTGATTTGAAATTCCCTCTCACCTTTCTTTGGAAGATATTGCCTCCTTCCTACCAGCCGTGAATTTCAAAGATCAAGCCATTAATTGCTTCCCTAGGCTGTAGAGGGGAATTGGACTTTAATTCCCTAATTTCTTCCCCTTACACCGTTGGAAATTTTCTTCATCAGATTCCCCCCTCTCTCCCACCCGTCTCCCTCCCTTTTCTTCTCAGGCAAAATTAAAGAGCTTGCCTCCCCTCCCCTCTCAAGAGGAAATCGGATTGCCAAAATCAGCCTTCTGTCTTGGGAATTAAATCCTTTCTTTAATTCCCTTTGCTGGCTGAAAATCTTCAATGCTGTCCCGTGGGAATTGCTGATCTGGAAGAGGCATCTCACGTTCACCTCTTGCTGGACAAAAGCTGGAATTCCCCTTCCAATTTTCTTTGCTCCTAAGCATAGAAAACTGAAGGTTTTCTCAGAATTTTGGGCTCAGATTTTGGTTCCAAAATCTGAAACGTTTTCTGGATTTTGGAACCTCTCCCTAGCAAAGCAGCCGATTTCCCGTTCTACATCAGTTGCTGAGCATTCTGATCATCTCTGTGTTTTTAATTTGAAAGGAGGTGAGGTGTTATATTAATAAGGTAATCAAGATTAATGGTGATGTCTTTTGTTGTGACTTGATCACTACTGTAGGGCTAATAGGAACATGCACAAAAGCCTCTAAATCCAAAGGAAAATTTAAAATTGGCTTTTAAGTTTTTATTGCATACCTATTCTATTAAAGGAGTTGCCCCTAGATTGGTATAGAGTCAACTCTGATAATTTGATTTCACCTCTTCTGCCTGATAGTTAGATTTCCTTTGGTTGAGCTTTTAAATATTTAGACAAATAATGCAAAAAAAAAAGGATGAACAATATATTTTGAAATGTCTTCAAATTCAACCTTTTGCTTGTATTTATAAGTTTCAGAGCCATTCCAAAGTTCCCTCATCATCACAGACAGTGGGAACCTGAAGAGTTCAATCCTTACACTTTTGCCATGGAGTATACTTCTCATTACATCTGAAGCAAATTCCCTTCGCCCTCTTCTCCTGCATCTCCCTCTCCGTCAGTCTTTTGAAGTTCCCCAAACTTCCTCCTCATGTTGGATTCTCCCTGGGAGTCTCATTAATATTGCCTGATGCAGGCCCCTTGGGTGCTATAAGAGTGGTTGTCGTCCTGTAAGTGCCTCCTGAGCTGCTGCTCCTGGCTCCCTTCTCTAGATTCTTCTAATTTTCCATCAGCTGTGCTAACTTCATGGCCTCTCCCAAGTCACAAGGCATCATGACTTTCACCGCCGCTCTGATCTTTGTCTTGAGCCCCTTCATGAAGCTTCCTTCCAATGCAGTCTCTAATAATCGCTCCACTTGATTGGCTAGGTGCTCGAAACGCTCACGATAGTCTGCTACTGATCCGTCCTGCACTAGTGCAAAAATTTGCTCATTGAAGTCTCCTTCCCCGTCGGTTTGGAAACGTTCTACTAAGCACTCCTTGAACTCTCTCTAGTCCCTTCACTTATACCATGAAAGTGCCTTCCCCTCAAAACATAGCTCTGCTTCTGTCAATTTCTCCTCCTCCGTCAGTCCATTAACAACAAAATACCTCTTCACCTTGTAGATCCACCCATGTGCATCATCCCCTTAAAAAACGAGCATCTTCTACTTCTCACCTTCTAATATCTCCCATGCCCCCTTATTCCTCCATAGTTTTCCCTTTTCCAAGTGCTCGGCCCTCCCCAAGTCTCACGATCTTCTATCCCACGTTCATACACAAACCCCTCTTTGCTTTCTCCCCTCTTTTCTTCAAAATTCAGCCCCCTTTCTTCAATATTCTCCTTCTTTTCTTCCCCAACCAGCACCCGGTGATTCAAGCCCCCTCATACCCATGCCTCCCTGCATGCCTTCCATCTCTTTCCTCCATGATTTCCACCTCATCATCCCTCCTACGAAAATTAGAATTCATAGTTCATCCCATGGGTCCCTTTGCCTCCGATGCCGCCGTTTGAATATTGATTCTCCAAGATCTTCTTCACCATCAAATGAAGATCGGAGAATTTGTCTTCCATTGACGACATCGTTTCTTCCACAGATGAAACATTGTCTTCTACGAACGAGAGTCGATTTTCCATCGTGGCTTTTATTTGGCTCATTTCTTCTTCAAATTTTTCTTCCAACGCATCAACTTTCTTGGCCGCCATAAAAAATTTTGGATATTAGATCCAAAATTCAGGGAAAAATCAGCCCACAATGATCCATGGATTGCTCTGATACCAATTTGATAGGAAACACTTGAAGATCTTAAGTATTTCCTATATATCAATATTCGGAAAACAACGAGAATTCTCCACAAAAATTCACACAACCACGAAAACAGTAGATAATTTGTATTATTTGATGAAATAGAAACAGAAAATAGCAATATACAGTTGATCTTCTATTCAAGAGGAGGATCTATCTCTCCCAAATCTCTAGACACCACTAGAGCCCAAAAGAACATAAGAGATCTCAAATTTCATCCAAAATTAAGATGTCATAACCCTAGGAAAACAAACTATTTAATGCATACAATCCAAAAGGAAATCCCTAAGCAGTCACTACATTCAAATTTCCCTCCTAACTCCCTCAAAAACCCTGCCTAAACTGCTCTCCCGGCCTGGGCGGCGCGTACATGAGAGGCAGAACACTTCCGCCTCTGTTACGCGTGAGCCGGTCTTGGTATGGACCAGTTGGACCGGTCCACTACCGGTCTAACAGTTAGCTGTTTGGAACGACTAGACTAGTTGGAGTCGACATAGTTGTCTTAGATAAAGAGGGTCCGACAATAGGATATAATGATATATGTGGTTGTTTTTTGTTGGATTGTGACTTTGGTGGACTGTAATTGTCGGAGAGATGACAAGAATGTGGTTGTTGGCGGGTTGCTAGAATGATCATGACTTGAGAAGAGATGAATATAGGAGGGCCGCAACTGTCGGAAAATCACAACACTGAAGGCTATGATTGTTGGAATTGTAGGGAAGAATTTGCAATGTGGCTGCAGTTAAGAGGGAAGCCTTTGGCAATTTAGGTGCAATAGATACCAGAAGGGTACACATTATAGGGCTTTGATGCCGTGTGAGAAACTTCAAGAAATTTAAATTGATCTTACCGGATTCTATTGACAAGTAACATGTAGTTAGGGTTATATGTGAGTTTTTCATAGGGAAAATAAAGTAAACACATAAATGAAAGAAAGGAACATATAATTGAAAATAAAGTCATATTAAAATAGAGATATCTCTGATCAATAATTTTAGGATTAGAGAACCAATTTTAGTTGTTTCCTTAAGGTGCCACTCTTGTATTGGACATTGCTGGACAATTTTCATAGCAATTGTAGAGCCTGCAATAATTAGTTATTTCCATAGAAGATTAGCACATTATTGGATAACAAGCACACCATCCAACATGTTTGATTGATGAGATAAGAATGCATACTGGAGATTGAATGCTTGGACAATGTTAATTTTTGAGTTAATAAATGTAGAAATTATATACCTTGTTTGAGCTCCCTTCTATGTATATGATAAGAGTCATGTCACATTGCAATAGAGTTAATAAATGATAAAGATGTTAAATTCAGAGAATAGGAGAGGGAAAAGGCTTAATTTTATTGCACAAAACTATTCCTATTTATAGATCTATACAAGATGTCTTAATAAAGAAATAAATAATTATAGAATCATGCATAATTGCTCTAATATAATCCTTTCTAAATCAGACACCAAGTATGGAAGGAGATCAGCATGATCTAGGTGAGCCTCCCACGGATCCCCATGCTGGCCGTAGGATCAAATGGTCAAGGGACAACTAAGATTTAACACTCCCACAAATCTCCCTGCTGGCCGTGGGATCAAGGGCCAAGGGACATCTGTGATTTAACAAAAGCAAACCTAGTGCAGATTGTTTTTTGGCTATTGGTTTTTTGCCAACCCCACAGTGGGGTAAGGCTTGATGTTACTTGTTGGTTTCATGTAGTTTTGTTTGGAAAGAGATGCCTTTCACTAAAGGGATCCGTTCTAGGGTAGGTTTTGCTTGATTTGGTAGGAATGTCATTGTATGCATACGGTGCCTTGTTCTTGTGAATTAAATATATTTGTTTTAATTTGTTAGACAAAAGCTTGTGCTTAGCTAATTATGCTTGCTATTATATTACAATATCTTACAACATGTTGACATGATTAGAAGGTTGATGTAGGACTACAATGCTTAAATTAATTTGATAAGAACTTGCATGACTTATTGATTAGAATAATAATGATTAGAACTATTAGCAAATAAAAACGTCAAAATAAAAAATAAGAGCTTTGAATTATCAAAATAGCAAAGAAAATCAACGACATGCAAATATAATAGCTTTCAACAAAGATCCCTAATATAACAATAAGATTAGAAGCAAATAAAGTGCACTCAATCCTACGTTTACTAAGCTCGGCAGAGTTAGGCCAACACGATCTGCATGAATTAAATCAAATCACAAAAGAGAGGGTTAGACTAAGGAAATACAAGAGGAGAAAGATTGGAAGACCTTCGTCACGGCTCGGATGTAATCCTCCACTAGACGGTACCAAGTTGCTCCTCTATGGCTTTGACGAGAGTGTCTAGAATGTGCTCCACCTATTCCTCGACTGTGTCGTCGATGCGAGGGTTGACGTCGAAAAAGGTCGAGTGCAGGATGCAAACAAAGCCTTGTTCGTCGTAGGCGGGACCGTAATCAAGATCTGGATCGGCCATGCATCGATCTTGTCGCGTCGAGGTATTGACAGAAGTGTTCTTTGTTGTCCAAGCAGATTTTCCTCAAGAATTTAGGTGGTGGAAGATGGAGTAGGGTGGTCGGCCACAAGGAAGAAGCTTAGGAAATCTAACTTCAGGTTTTGGAGAATTGGAAGGGAGGGAGAAGTGCCAATCAATCATCTAATTAATCCTCATGCATGAAATGAATTAAGAGGAGAGGGAGAGAGGTAGGAGTGGCAGGATGAGGGGCTAGGAGGATTTGTTTCCAAATCCCAATACTTGCTTTAGGAAAGAAAATAATGAGGTGTGTGGCTTAGGGGATTTCAGCCAAGTGGGGAGGGGGCTATTTGAATTAATTCCCAAAGAGGGGTGTTGGATTTAGGAAACAAATCCAAAAGGAAATGGGGGGTAAAATAGATTTAGTAATTTAGGAAAGATTTTAAATTTCAAATTGAATGAATTTGAATTTTAAACCTATCCAAATTATATCAATCTAAAATAGGCAATGGGGATCAAAGGGGGAAAGGGGATCTAGGAGCCGGCGGCATGCTTGGTTCGGGTATGGAGATCGACGGTTAGATGGGGTGTATGTGGATCTCGGTGGGTAAGGGAAAGGGGCTTGGTGAAGGAGGAGGTCTTGGGTCTACGGTCAGTTGAGGTGAAGAGGGCCGGTGGTGGTGGTGGGAGGAAGGGAAGAGATAGGAAATAGAACCACGAACCCGACTCGTCAAGATTGGTGGGTGATGCGCAATCTTCCCTCTCCTAGTGATCTCTCACCGGTTTCTCATGCTCTCAAGAGAACTCAAAAGATTTGTGGAAAATTTTTTTTCAATCATTCATCCCATCAAAATAGAATAATGGGGCTATATATAGCCTTGAAGGAGGAGGTCTTGGGTGTACGGTCTGTTGAGGTGAAGAGGGCCGGTGGTGGTGGTGGGAGGAAGGGAAGAGATAGGAAATAGAACCACGAACCCGACTCGTCAAGATTGGTGGGTGATGCACAATCTTCCCTCTCCTAGTGATCTCTCACCGATTTCTCAAGCTCTCAAGAGAACTCAAAAGATTTGTGGAAAATTTTCTTTCAATCATTCATCCCATCAAAATAGAATAATGGGCTATATATAGCCTCGTACAAAGACTCAAGATAATAAAAGACGACAACGCCCACTGGGCTTACATACGACCTCCCTTAAGGGGTAAAAATGGAAAACTAATAAAGCAAATACAATATGACATCATAAATAAGAAAATACATAATACCACTTAGAAATACAATGACTCAATCGTGGTTGTAGATCGACGGCCACGTTTCTGATAGACTTTCCACGATCTGGTGTCCCCATCAAAGGTTTATACACGAACTTTGTGCTTTACCACTTGAATGTTTAAACAGTTTGTTCATTAGTGGTCACGATTTCTTCTTTGTGAAATTTAGCATCTTTCTACCCATTTGAAGTTTTTTTTTAAAATATTTTGCTTTATATGTAGCTCCAGTGTTAAAGGTTAGAGTGAGTTTCCTTAATTGATTTGGTCACATAAAACGGTTAAGAAATGTAGAGATAGACTTAAAAAGATTGGTTAGAAAGTATTGAAAATGCTATTTTTTATTAGATTTAAATGAGAATTTGACTCTTAATACGACATAATAGAGAAAAAAAGGATTTATGTAGCTAAACTCACGTAGTGGGATAAAGGCTTGATGTTATTTTTGTTGGTGTTTGCGCTGTAATTCTACATGCTTTCTTTATGATGTAATTGTGTAGGTCACCAAGTTTTTTTCTTCTTCCTTGTTATTTATCTAGGCCAAAATTAAAAGCATTGAGTCACAACTCATGGAGGCTCTTAGTTCAAGTGATTTGAGGTCAGAATCCGGTTCTGCTGGTGCTTTTTCTTCTCCAAAAGGGGTTCATGACAGTGTTACTTCAGCTAGTGTTACCAAAAAGCTTGAAGAAGAGCTCTCTAAGCGTGATGCACTAATTGAGGTTTGTTTTGCTAAATTTTGAATCATTTGGTACGTGCATAATTAAAATTTATTATTTTTTGTTGGCAGCTGAAAGTAATCAGATTTCACCAATTTGGTTTTAACTAAATGCTGCTAATGGCTTATTTATTATTTAGATGGATTTTATGCCATTGTTGTATCAGTGATATTCCTCTAAAATAATCCACCATACTCCAAGTGCAAGCTCATAATGAATGGCTTGTGGAGTCGGTTACGTCATAAGTCCAAATTATGAGGCAAAGTGAGTGCATTGTTGAAATCATGCTCAACCTATTTTATGTAATTATTGGCTGTTGATTATGAGCTTATTGACAAGAATATTTGAAAACGTAAGACTAGGAGGACATATTATTTCATAGTGATATATTATTATAAAAATCTGTAGGCTAAATTAAGTGTTTAAAATTGTGGTTGTAAACTATATTAATTAAGAAGTTTAGATGTCTCTTCAACTATGACGTAATAAGATTACTTGGCTACTTGGATAGAGTAGGGACATCTTCAGGAGATGCTGCCATATGGCTGCGTTACGTGCACCTGTTGGTCGGGACTAACAGCTTCTTTTAATTAAGTTTGAATGATGAAATTCAGGAGCCCAGAGTCTCATTACAGGAATTTCTAATATTTAGCTTTTCCTTGATGCTTTGGTGAGCACATGATATTGTTGGAATAATCTATCTATGGTGGAGTTGACTGTTCAGGTGTAAAAGAGGCGTTTTGATGCAGGACTATGTATGAATGCAATCAATTCGTTAGGAATTTGCACAACTCTTGATTAGAATAAAATGAAGAAACTAGTAGCAGCTCAAACAACAAACTAAAACGAATAAGGGGTCACGCCCGCTTAGGCTAAATCACATAACCAGAGATTCGAAGCTTTCAAAATGAAATAGAAAACAACACTATGCCAAAATAGTAGTTTCAAATAAAATCCCTAGTATAATAGTGAAATTAGTAAGCACATGAATATACTCAAAATCCTACGTTTACTAAGCTTAGCAGGAGCATGGGGAATCGTCCTTCGTGACTACAATCAAATGCAAGAGAAAGTTAGATTCGAGAAATATGTTGAAAGGGGAAAAGAGAACCTCTTCTCAAGGAGCGGTGGAGATCCTCCACTCAACGCCTTCAAGCTGCTCTTCGATTTCTTCCACCAAAGTGTCTAGAATACGCTCTATGTAGTCTTCGACGGTCTGATTGACCCTTGTATTAACGTCAAAGAAGGTTTACTGTAGAATGTCGACGAATCCGTCCTCGTCGTAGGTTCGGCCGTATTCAGTCTTCGGATCCGCCATTCATAGAGACCAGGTGACAAATCTCCTCCCGACTTGATGGTGCACTTGGATAATTTGAAGACAGAGAAATTTCTCTTGCAAGGTGGAGGAGGAAAGAGTCAAGGACAGAAATCTGAAATAAATTTCAGATTTTTGTAAGGAGTGAAGAGGAATTTAGGAGAGAAATTATCAAATCCTAAAATCCGGTGGAGAGTTAATGAGAGAGAGAGGGGGCTGGTAGTGGATAAGGGCCGGCGGCTATGAGGAGGATGGGGAGGGATTTAGGAGAACTAAATGGAGTTGCCAAGTTTAGGTTTAGGAATTAGGAAAGGTTTGATTAACTCCAATTTAATTTGAAAATTAAATTGAGCTCTATTAGGAAACTTTCCTAAAATAGGTTAAGACAAATAGGAAAGGATTTTAATCTTGAATTTAAATAATTTGGATTCCAAATTGATCCCAAATTAATTTGAATTAAATTAGGAAACCCAAACGAGGCAAGTGGAGTGGGGGGGCCGGCGGTATAGCCATGCATGGCTGGCGACTAAGGGTAATAGAGGGAGGGAATTAAGGAGGCTTTAATGCTTCCTTAATTTTAGGGATTGGATTTCAAAGAATTAAATCATTCTAATTAATTCCAACCCTAATGGAGGGAGAATTTGAAATCTTTCCTAAAATAGATTTTATAATTTAGGAAAGAATTTGAATTTCAAATTTGGGGAAATTTGAATTCAAAGACCACTAAATTATGGCAATCCAATACAATCCAATATTAGGGATTATTCCAAAGTAGGCAATGGAGGGGGAAGATGGAAGAGAGTGAGGTCGGCGGCTAGAATGGGTCGGGTAGGGGCTGGCGGCAAGGTGGGATGGAGACGTTGTGTTGGTGGGTGGAGGGAAACGACTAGGAGAAATAAGATTGTGAAGGTGGGTGGGAGATAGGTTAAGGGAAATCAAATATACTAAACCACGAACTCAGCCGTCTCCAAGGTTGGTGGGTGATGTGCCAATCTCCCTCTCCAAGGGATCTCTCTCCGATCTCTTAAGCTCTCTCAAGAACTCCAAGCAAGAAGACAAAATTCTCTAATAATCATTCATTACCTTGAAAAATAACACATGAGGCTATAAATAGCCAAGTACATGAGACTCACGAAAATAAAAGACAAAAATGCCCTCCGGACTTACATACAACATCCCTCACTAAAAGGGTACGACTGGAAAACTCATAAAACAAATGCACGAAACTGAAAATAAGAAAATACATAAATAACTTAAATAAAAAATACAATGACTCGATCGTGGCCGTAGATCGGCGGCCACACCTCTGATAAACCTTCCATGATCTGATGTTCCCATCACGTTTCTTTCTGTTTTTGTAACTGGTGGTGTTATCGTTTGTATTACTAAAATTTTCCACCTGTTTAGGTAAAATGGATACTAGAAGTGCACGTTAATATTTGTTTGGTAGATTTGAGCATTGTTAGTCTTAAATTTCATTGAGGCACGCTTAAATTTCATTTGGGCTGCATGCCTCGAATGAAAGCAAACACATGTTTCCATTTTGCTTTATTTGCTTATGGAATGCTTAAGTTTTTTTTAAGCAACAATATTGTCTTACATATAAGTTGGCTCAAACGATTGTTAATTCCATTGTTCTCTCAAGATATTTACATCTTTGATCTTGCAAAAACATAAAGAATGCAGCAATTAATCATATCTATACATCCTGTTTGTTCACATATAATTTAATGCTCCATTTATATCTTTTAATGTTTACTAGTCATTGGAGGAGAATGTCACACTCACACCAACCCTACATTAAACAATAGACAAGAAACGCAACCATGAGACTGTCAATCATTTACTTTACTATATTACATTTCAATATAATTCATGTAATCCAAATGCAGAATGATTTTAAAAGAGATCATAACTTAAAACGTCAATCATAGTGAAAGCTGTCCAACATTTTCATTTACAGAGCAATTGCTGGAAAAAAAAAAAAACATATAACTATTAAAATGCTGTTGAAAATTTTGGACTGCTTGTGTCTCCCAAGGTTTGCAACCACTTCATCCCCAGGATCAGCACCCCTTTGCTCTGCTCCTCCATGCCTTTCCCCATACCTACCTCTATCCTCGATATGGAAAGGCTCCATATAGGGTTTTCTTCTTTCTCCCTCCACGATCTCCACCTCATCTTCCTCCCTACGAATTTTAGAATTCGTGTTCTTCCCTTCCAACCCTTTTGCCACTGAAGCTGCCGTTTGGTTGTAGATTTCTAACATTTTCTTCATAATGTCCCGGAGATCGGCTACTTGTTCTTCCATAAAGGAAATCCTGTCCTTCATCGTTGTCTTGATTTGGTTCATCTCCACTTGAAGTCTTTCTTCTAGTGCATCTACTTTTTTGGCCGTCATCTCTATTCGGATCTCTGTAGATTTAAAAAATATGGATTTGAATCACAAAAACAACAACTTTCACCTTCCCCGGCAAAAAATTAGATGCTGAAATTTGCCAAAAATAGCCCCCCAATGTTTCCAAGATTTGCTCTGATACCAATTTGATAGGACACACTTGTAGATCTCAAGTATTTCCTATCAATTTTCGGAAAACAACAAAAATTCTTCACAAAAATCTGCACAAAATCACTAAAACAATCGATAATTTTATATTATTTGATGAAAGAGAAACTAAAAAAAAGCAAGATACAATTGATCCTTTATTCGAGAGGAGGATCGATCTCTCCCAAATCTCTAGACGCCGCTAGAGCCCAAAAGAAAACCTAAATCTAAGAGATCTCAAATTTCAGCCAAATTCAAGATGCCCTAACCCTAGGAAAACAAACTATTTATTGCATACCATTCAAAAGGAAATCTCTAAACAATCTCTACATTCAATTCCCTCCTAAACTTCCTCAAAAAACCTTCCAAAAATGCTTCATTAGCTCCTGCGGTGGGATCGATGGAATTAGAGGCGGATGATTTCTGCCTCTATGTCGCACGGGCTGGTCCTGCAGGACCGGCTGGACCGTTCTAACACTTTCTTACATTGACACAAATAAACATAAAACAAAAGCTGAATCTGACACTATTCTGGCTCAACTTGATCTTTCCTTTTTCCTATAATAGCTAGAATAACAATCTGGTTAGCTACAACGCACATAAAGATATTTAACTCTAATACAATTGGTCAATTGTTAAGTATAGAAAAATACATTAATTATATGTGCATCAATAAGTGAATGTAAGAAAAATTGTATATACTCGTTTAATAGGAAATATGCACAACAGGTTATAAAATGAGTGAAAATATTGCTTCAAATGAGAGTTATGCAAAATGCTATTTTAAAATCATTACATTAGGCTAGTTCCATTCAATATGAACATGATATATTGCCTGTGAATTTTACATTATTAGTTGTTTTCCAATATGTACATCATACATTGCTATAAGTTATTATAAATAAATTTCAATTCATTTCATAATTCCCTTTTTAGCCTCAAAAGATGTCATGTTTAGATGTCAGTGTAGGTCTACAACCCATAAGCTCTTGAGGTCATACTACACTTTCGCCCGTAGACTTCATATCATAGCCTGTAGTCTTCCTATCATATTGAGGTCGCAATTCCCATCGGGTCGCATTGTGTCACGACCCGGCTCGGATGCTCGATTTAACGAGGCGGGAACTAAAAGTCGGACGGTAAAAAAATTCATTCAATGCATAAACAATACAATACATAACTTTCTCTATCTTACTGAAGAGCCTCTAATACACAAATTATAAATTATCTGTTGTCATTTGCACCCGTCTTCTATAGACGAACTCTTCTCTTTCTGCCATTTCTAAATCACCGAAGACTTACCTGAAACATTTAAATTCATGGTTTGAGTTTACTAAGCAAACTTAGTGGGTAAGTGAAGAAAATAATTTATAAGCATAAAATATAATACATAAAACTTTTGATATATGTCCATTAATTTAACATCTGAGTTATATTTCCTTTCTTTATTTAATTTCATTTCATATACATATTATATCGTATTCCTTTCTTTACCTTTTTTTTTATACCATAGCATGTTCATTTATAACATTTACTTTAACAATTATTCATTTTCCCATTTCATATGATACAAGAGTACCGTCTAAATGTACCAAAGGTACAACAATTTTCATTATCTTTTCCATTTTCATAACCTTTTTCTTATTTTACGTGCACGAGTACGTTGCTTCCCCAGCCAGTACCATACGGGGGTGAATTCATGTAAGTTTTGCATGCATAACATTTTCCCTTTCCCTTTGATTCATTTATGTTTGTATCATTTACTTAACATTTATTTATTTGCATTCTTTCATTCATATATACTTTCTTATTACATGTACGTTTTCTTTCTTTCACATATCCATACTTGTACAAGCATTTACTTACTTCGTATAATAGTTTTAAAAAATATATAAATCATAAACTTTAAACAATTATATGCATGCTTCTTTCAAAATGAACTAGAAAATACAATAAAGAAAATTTCATAAATACCCACTTTATTTTCTCTTCCAAGTCTTTGATTCCGTCACCACCTCAACCTCTGTTGAATTCCTTGAAAGAACTCAACTCCTACAATTTGATCCCCTCCTCTCTAATTCAAAATGGAAATCTCCAAATTCTTCCTTTCCCAAATTCCTTCTCATTGTCTTCAATTCCTTCCTTTTTCTTCTATGAAAAATATTTCTAGGTTTTGATGAAATAGAAAAAGATAATTTATACGAAAAGGAAAGAAATTTTTTTACAAACCTCATTCCTTCTTCCTCTCGGTCGTTCCTCTCGTTCGTTGCAAATTTCCACTTCTTTAGCGATAAAAATAGGAAAGGAGTTAAGAAGAGTTGTCGAATTTCATCCCTAATCACGAATTTGCTAAAAACAACTAAAAGAAAACTCCCCATACCTCTCATGCAAGCGCTCGGCCCGCCTTGTTCCGCCTCTTTGTCTGTTCGCGAAAGGCAACTGGGGTCGCGCTTGCCTATTAATAGAACTGGCCGGTTCGGTTGAACCGGCCAGATCCGGTTCTCACACATTGCCTCGCCCGTTTATTATATAACATGACATTTTCTCAAGCTTATTTGATCATTTGCATTTTTTTCCGGGTCATGCGACACTTTATGTAAATATACACATGCATGCAAATTGATATGGTTGTCTGGTGTATCAGTATATGAGCACGTATGACTGTATGAATCACATCTTACAAATCATCGTATGGCAAAGTTGTACATAGCAACATAATATAACAATATCACCTATAACGAAAAGTTACATGTGAAAGGGTTGCGTGGATCATAATTTCAGGCTATTTCCGACAGGCAAGAGTATGGAGATATATGTCAGCCACAACTAATTTGAATGCATGTGCACAAACAATACGCAATCAACTTGCATACTTACTAAAAATGTATATCTGACCACCACAGCTCCAGCTCCTATCCGATCCTCCACACTTCTGGCCAGCTCCCAAAATCGTCTTAACCATCAGTTGCTCCAAGAGAAAACTGAGAGAGCAAGATAATTTACTTAATAACCCCTCCACTTCAATACATGTGAGACACCTGTATACATTTTACCCTTTGCTACAGTGTTTTTAATCTTTTTGAAAATAACATCATTTCTTAAACTTAGGAAAAAAAGCAAATGCGATTTAATTCCCTAATGTCTCATCCTTCGCGATTCAACATATAGTTCTATATGTCGAATTGCTTCATTCAATGAGTAGAATACAATAACATTGAATTTTTTTAATTTCACAAAATGGAAAATTTGGGGTATTTTTTTAGTTGATTCACATACCTCAAATTCTGGTGTTACAGAGAAATGCATGAACTTCTTGTATGATTATAAGTAAGTGTTGATGAAACCTTACTCTTATTCATCTTTATCATCAATGCTCCTTTTTTGCTTAGCAGCCTCTTCTGCACTGTTAGTCTGTTACGCATGATAATGCATGTCATGTCTATGCTGAATCCTGTAGAACCCTTTTATAGAAGGCAGCTGATTTTTTTTTTAAATTTTGGTAATGTAAATTGATTTTTTTCCGTGTGAATTTAATGATGTTAGCTCTCTGTCACATCAGCAGCAACCATTTTCTGAATTTCCCAAATTTTCTGTTTTTATTTTTTCTGCAGAAATTACATCAGGAGAATGAGAAGTTGTTCGACAGGCTATCAGAGAAGTCATCGTTTGGTGGATCTCCACAGGTTTCATGCAAAAGCTTTTAGTTGAAAATTCATTTTGAAAGGATTTGTTAATAACCTGATATTTTTTACTAAATCTTATTAAAAACAATTATTTCTCCTATGTAATTAATCGGCATTTCATGCATCATATTAAACATAATTAACATACAGAGGCAACTAGTTATTCTTTTCTTGAGCTTCTTAACTTCCACGTGACTTCACTTAGGTGCTAGTGCATATTTAGGGCCTTTTTGGTTTGATGTAGAAGCTTGGAAAATTATTATAAATATAGGAGTTTTGAAAATATTGGTACTTGATTTGAAACAAAAATAATGTATAGTAAAATTTTAATAAATTCCAAACTCACCTCATAGGTCAAGTTTGATGTATTCAAAACTTAGCTGAGTTTTGAATACAACGCAAGTCACCGTCATCATCCCCACCCATAGTTGCCCTCTCCCACCCTTGTCATTTACGTCTCCAACATCATTGTTGCCACACTTGTCGTTAACCATGTTGCCGCCACCTCACCCCACATTAGCTCCCATTGCCCCTATCCCTCGCCGTCGGTCGCTACTACTTGCCATAGCCAGTAGCTACTACATCCTACCGTTGGGCATTGCTGCATGCTATCACTATCCGCTATTGCATGTTGTCACCGTCTGTGCCTACCACTGCCGATCAACACCTCTCGTGGCCTGTCATTGCAGACAACTATGACTCCGGTCGCTTTTAGCTGTTGGTTGCTGCAAGTCATCGTTGCTGCCAATCGACAACCTCAACCGTCATTGCCTCTGTCAGTCCCACCAATTGTATTCATTTACTTCAAATCAAGCACAAAAAGTATTCTCTTGCATTTGGTTTACATGAGATTGAAACTCTTATGCTTATTACAGAAGGATAGAGGCCATAACTGATAAGTTTGCTTGGCAATTAATTTTTCTTTTTTTTTGGCTGACTCAAATTTCGAACCTCTGTTAGGCTGCCTGTAGCAATGTTCGCTTTAGGAGCCATGAATATTCAAGAATATGGGACAAGAATTAAGGAAGGGGATGAATGAAAAAAAAAAGGGAAGATTAGGAGAAAGGAAATTATAATTCCATAACATGCCGTAATTACATCAGATTTATTGATGGCAATACCCTTAACATAATTTCACTAAGAACTGAGATTAACCATGCCAACAAAAAAGAGAGAAGATTGCTGATTAGGTTGAAGTTTAACTATAACTTGATCTCCATCCTAAAATTCAACATCACGATGATGATGATGATGATTAGCTTTCTGTTTTATCCAATTCTGCATAGAGTGGAAGTTTTGCTTAAGTTAATGAAAAATAGCATCATGGTCTAAACAAAAGTATGTCGACAGTTTCATTTGAACATGAAGATGGCGTCTAAGCCAGAATCTGAGGTGGGAATCTGCCGTAGCCTTTATGAAAAAGAAGGAAGCCCGGGACAAATGAAGTAAAATATTGTATGAGAACCCTGCCCATGGTAAAGCTGCAGCCGAGACGATGGTGCATCAAACACATAACAAGAAGGATATTTTTCAAGCCCACGGTTTATGACTTCAATCAGGCAATCCTCATTGTTGAAGTGCGACTTGGTGCCATGTCATGAAATATATCGTGCCAAAATATACTCATAAATAATTGATCCCTATGAAAAATGATGGAAGGAGGTATACCACGCAGTTTCCAAAAATAAAAAATAAAATTTAAAGCAGTAAAATTTGTTTGTAACAATTACAAATGCATGTATTTTGACAATAAATCGACAACCACCATAATGGAGGTTTATGGCCCAACTGAGGAAGAATGGTGATAAAGTCAAGTCCATGGATACATCCTTCCAAATGCTCAATAGAAGAGTAGACTATAGAAGCCTACCCTGAGAGGGAGGTTGATACTTTGTAATTTGACAAACATGTCAACTTTTAATAAATTTATTAACATAGTTTTGTAAAAAAAGCCAAAAGTATTATGTGGCAAGATGATGCATTGTTCATTTTATTCTACGTGACCTGTAATTAAACTTAAGTGAAAAGTGTAGTGTGGCCTACCCACCAAATAAAAGGGAAGAGATTAACTGTGTATGAGAAGGAATACATATTTTCCCTTTAAAAAATAACATGCCATCTTTATGACAATAGTCATAAGTCTTAGCTTGATTAAGGTTAACGTCATGAATTAATTTTTGCATGGTTTGCTTGTTAGCAGCAGTTTGGTAAATATGGGAAAGTGAGAGTCCACAGAAGAAGTCAACAGGGCTAAAATCTTAGAGTTCAATTCATATAGTCGAGAAAATGCATTGGCCACTTTATTGGAACTTTGGAACTTTCGAGGATATATTCGATTGAATAGCTAGACCTAACTAATTTTATGTATAAATGCTGTTGTTTAAGAGTTTGAATGGTTTGATTCATCATTTCATGAATGGTGATGATGAATTTAGTACCCAAAAGCAATGTTTAAAATTGTGTATTCGGGTATTAAGGCGTTTTTCATTCGTGAGGCGAGGCGTAAGCCTCAAGGCATTTTGAGGCGTAAGCCTCAAAATCAAAAGATTGCGTAAATATAAAATAATAAAGTTTTTATATACTAATGAGTGAATAATATAAAACATAAAAAAGCATAAGATATGAAGTGAAATCAAAATATCTCAATAATAAGACAACATGAAATATAGTTCAACTCAAAATTCTATCTTTCCCAAATCCTAGTATTCTTTTCATTAACATATAATTCCAATTTCCAAAAATAAATAGCAATGACATATCACATAAGAACTCATAAGTCATTAGCACTGTCATCACTAAGGGGTTCTTCATTTGAATCGTCATTATGGTGAATTGCTCTCTCCCTTTCCTCCTCTCCTATAGAGTCCAATGTCGGGTATTTACTTTAAGATTTATGTAAGTTTTAATATATATAGCGTGAGGCGTATTCCTCATGCCAGTGAGTCGAAGCGGGCCTCAACCAAGTTGAGGCGCAAGCCTCATAAAAAAAACTCAAGGCGTAAGCATCGAGGCGTTTTTTACTGAAATTGCGCAAAGGCGGGCCTCAAGGCGAGCCTCATATTGCGCAATTTTAAACCATGCCCAAAAGATATTGCCGCCTCTTATAAATGGACTCAGTGATAGCAAAAATTTTGCGAACATATGTAGATGCACATTACCTATGATTTATGAAAGAAGGAAACACCATTTGTCCTTTAAATGCTTGTTGCCTGTTGTCAAATGGCATGGCTGTCCAAGGATTACAATACAGTAATCAGCCCTCTCTTCTACAATTATAAATAGATCAAAATTGCAGTATTCACAGTTTGAACATGTGCAATTTAGGAAAGCAGAGCATTAAGCCACTAAAAGAACTTGCTCCCCAATTCTTTGTAATAATGAGTTAATCGATTTATTTGTAGGTGATATAAATCTTTTAATTCTTTCAACAAGCTCTCTGCCTGGTTTTTGTCCAAATTCATAGGTTATGTTTGTATCAGTTCTAGATATGATCATTTTGGTTGCTGATCTAAATTTTCTGGGTCCTTTAGTTTTCTTCTTGGTTGGATTGGAACCGAACCTTTCCTTTATTATTTACATCACTACTATATTCTTCATTTAAACTTAGTTTCTGCAACAACAACAACATCAAGCTTTTATCCCTACATGAATCATTTTTCTTCATTTTTTTGTTAAGAGTCAAATTCTCATTTAAATCTAATTAAAAAAAGTCATTTCTAATATTTTCTAACCAAGTTGTTTTAGGTATACATCTACCTCTCTTAAAATAGGACAAATCTAATACATCTACTCTCCTAACCGGACCATCAGAAGACCGACGCTTTATCTGATCGAACCTTCTAGCGGCTCTCTCTATTCTTCTCTGCCATTGGAGCTACTCCAACCTTATCACGTATATACTCGTTCCACATTTCGTCTCTAAGTGAAGCCACTCATCCACCTGAGCATCCTCATCTTTGCAATACTTAACATAATTTTATGCACCTCTTTTAATGGCCAACATTCTGCGCTATAAAGCATTGCAGGTCTCATCACCATCTTATAAAATTTTTCCTTAAGTTTGAGTGATACTTTTCTGTCACATAACAAATCCGATGAATTCCTCAACTTCAACCATCCAACTTGTATTCTACTAATAACATCCCCATCTATTCTACCATCACTTTGAACAATAGACTTGTTTTTTAATAACTTGATCGTCCAAAGTCAAAATCCCCCCACTAGATCTATTACTACTAAAATTACGCTCAATGTATTTAGTTTTAGATCCACTCAAATAAAAATCTTTAGAATCTAAGGTTGACCTCCCTAATTCAAGTTTTTCTTAAACTCCCTCTCTAGTCTTATCAACAAGAATAATATCATCAGCAAAAAGCATACATTAGGGTACATCGTCTCGCAAATGTCTAGTAAGAACATCCATAACTAAAGCAAAAAGATACGGGCTTAAAGTTTATCTTTGATGTAATTCAACTAAAATAAGAAAATACTTGGTCAAACCATCTTATGTTTGAGCACAAGTAACAACTCCTGTATAAATATCCTTAATGACTTGATATAAACATTATTAACTTCGGTTTTACTAATGCAATCATACAAACAAAAATTTCAATTTTTATTTATGGTGCTAAGGTCACTAAAGTTGATCGTATTGTCACGATTTTCATTGAAAAATTTATCCATATATTTTATCCACCTTTGTTGAATATCCTCTTCTATTAAAATCACTTTTTGATCTTCATCCTTAATGCAATTCACTTGAACTAAATCCTTACTTTTTTTGTCTTTATTTAGCTAGCTTATATGTACATCATTCACCTTCCTTCATATCTAATCTATTGTATAAATCATTAAAAGCTAAATTCTTTTCATCACATATTGCTTTTGTAGACTCCTTACAAGCATCTTTATATATTTTCCTATTTTTTGTGCTTTTACGTCTAAACCAATTTTTATAATAATGTTTCTTATTTTTTATTTTTTCTTACACATTTTGATTCCACAACCAACTATTTTTATAACAAAACTTTTTCATTTGATACTCCAACTACAGACTTTGCAATATTTTTAATATCACATTATCACTAACTAGTTTGTCCTACATAACATTAGTTTTCTTATGCATAGTCAAAATCTTTAGATCTTGAATCTTACTCTTAAAAATATTTTTGTTAGTGGTCTTTAATGCTCCAATTTAATCCTAGGATAATATTTTACTTTATTTTGTATATTCTACCCATTCATCTTAAAGTCCAAAACTAATAAGTGAAGTTGGATACATAAACTTTTACTCTGATAATATTATAATCTTGGCAATATAAACGATTTATTTTTCTTATAAGAAAATAATCAATCTTAGTTTTATTATATCCTCTTTTATAAGTGATGAGATGTTTTTTTCTTTTCTTAAATAAGTTATTAGCAATTACAAAATCATAAGCTAGAGAAAAATTTAATATGTTCTTATTACCTTTATTAGTCGCTCCAAACTCATAGACATCATGAATGCTTTCAAAATCTTCTACTACTCTACTAACATGTTTATTTAAATCTCCTCCAATAAAAACTCTTTTTTCAATAGACATCATTTGTATTAATTATTCTAAGTCATTCCAAAAATTTAATTTTGAACACATTTTCAAACATATACTTGAGGAGCATAAATACTTATAATATTGATAATGTTATCATCAATAACAACCTTTAAAGCTATTAATTTATCTTCAATTCTATTAATTTCTATATTATTATCTTGCAAACTCATATATAATCATACATACATCATTTCTAGTATGACTCCTACATAATAACATAGATTAGATTCTAAGCTATCAATCTCCTTAGCTTTTTCTTCAACCCATTTAGTTTCTTGAATGTATAGAATATTTATCTTCTTATGAATCATAATATCTATTAATTTGCCGGTAAGATAACCTATATTTTAAGTTCATATCCTAATTTTAGTTTTATGGATCTTTGCGCACATTTGTCCATGATGTGGGAACCCTTGCTTATTTAACACTATACTTGGGTGTCGGTGCAACAACCCTTGCATACTTCTTGCTGTATTTTGGCTATGTAGCGTGTGGCTTACAGGGAACACCTTAACATTAACACAATGTATTAAATGATTCATGACATGACTATATGAAAGGTTTTACATTGGCCGTCAATCGCCTAACTTAAGCCTCCACTTTTGTCAACAACAGTATTATCTAAACTTAGTTTCTGAACTCAAAAAACTGATCTTCATATTTTTTCCTTTCTAGAATTTATCTTTTACTCAGAAGTTTATAATCAATATGAGCAACTTCTTAAAATTTATGATTTCTTTAATTAAAATATCTCTTCAGCTAACCAATCAAAATTCAAACGTAGTTATAATTATATATATATATATATTCTTCATATTTTTTCCTTTCTAGAATTTATCTTTTACTCAGAAGTTTATAATCAATATGAGCAACTTCTTAAAATTTATGATTTCTTTAATTAAAATATCTCTTCAGCTAACCAATCAAAATTCAAACGTAGTTATAATTATATATATATATATATATATATATATATATATATATATATATATTTTTGGTTCCTATCAAGGCAGGGTCAAGGAAGGGTCTAGTTCAAGTTAATCAAGGAAGGGTCTATTTCAAGTTAAATATATTCTTGTTTTATAATCTCATATTATGAATGTGATAGGAAACACTTGAAGATTTCAAGTAAATCCTATCAAGAGAGCAAAAACAGCGAGAAATCTCCACAATTCTAATGGAAAACCAGTGAAAAATAGTAATTTTATTGCAAGAAAACAAACTACGGAAGAAAATAATAAGATACAATTGATACTCTATTCGAGAGGAGGATCGATCTCTCCCAAATCTTTAGACGCTGCTAGAGCCTAAAGAAAACCTATGAGATCTCAAATTTCAGCCAAATTCCAGATGTCCTAACCCTAGGAAAACAAACTATTTAATGCATACAAATCAAAAGGAAATCCCAAACAGTCAATACATTTAAATTTCCCTCCTAACTCCCTCAAAAATCCTTCCTAAATAGCCCACGCAATCCTAGGTGTGTGTTCGGAGCATACTGGAGGCGGACACTTCTGCCTCTGTTCGCGTAAGCTAGTCCCGTCGGACCGGCTGGGCCGGTCCTGTCAGAACAGCTAGACTGGTCTAACATTACTCCCATCCCAAAGATCCACCTTGTCCGCAAGGTGGAAAGATGACACCCTCCTCCATTCCTTCTTCATCACAAATGGTAAGAACCTGAAGAGTTTGATCCTTACCCCCTACACCCCGACATATACCTCTCATCACTTCTGAAACAGATCGTCTTCGCCCTTTTCTCCTGTAATTCTGTTTATGTGAACTTCTTGAAGTTGTCTCCAGGTCTTCCTCCGACACTCTTTTTCTTCTAAATCTCCCTAAGAGTACCCGGTGTTGGTTTCTTGCTTGCCAAAAGGTGGTGGTCATCCTGTATGAGCCTCCTGAACTGCTACATCCTGCTCCTTTTTCCATGTGACTCTGATCCTCCACCAACTGAGCTAGATCCATGCCTCCATTGACTCTCCTAAGTCTTGAGGTCTCATCACTCTGACTGCTGCATGGATTTTTGGTTTCAGTCCCTTCATAAAGCTTCCCTCCAATACAGTCTCTGGAAGCCGATCCAATCAACTAGCAAGGTACTCAAATTGCTCACGGTACTCCATCACTATCCCCTCCTGCATCAAAGAGAAGAACTGCTCATAGAAATCCCCTCTCCGGCTAGTTTGAAAACGTTCCAACAGGCGGTCTTTAAACTCCCTCCAGGTCCTTATTGGTCGCCTCGTATCCCTCCACTGGTACCATGCTAAAGTTTTCCCTTCCAAGCACATCCAGGCTGCCATCAATCTCTTCCCCTTAAACTCCCTCCAGGTCCTTATTGGTCGCCTCGTATCCCTCCACTGGTACCATGCTAAAGTTTTCCCTTCCAAGCACATCCAGGCTGCCATCAATCTCTTCCCCTCTATCAACTTGTTGACGGTAAAGTATCTTTCTACCTTGTAGATCCACCCATGGGCATCATCTCCCTCAGAAATAGGCATCTTCAGTTTCCTCACCCTCTGGTCGTCTTCGTTCCCTTCATAATTTCTACTTCCCCAAGGTAGTGGTTCCCCTCAAGTGTCCCAAATCATCTCTTCTACGTTCATACCCAAGTCTTTCATGAAATTCCCACATTCTTTCAAATTCAGCACCCCTTGTATCATAACAAACCCCCTCCCCTTTCAGATTCGGTCCCTCTTTGGTCATAATTACCTCTTTCCCTTTCAAATTCTGCCCCTCTCCTCTTCAAATCATCACATCTTCGTTCTTGCTCCACCTCCTCACGCTTCTCCCCTACCCCCTACCCGGCTTACCCATAGGAACAAGCTCCAGGGAAGGCATTCTCTCTTTTCCCTTTTGAGTCTTCACCTCCTGATCTTTCATTTGCTTTATTGGATTAGAGTTTTCCCCACTTCTTGGGTTGTCGGATGCTTCCCTCGCCTCTGATGATGTCATTTTGGATTGGCCCTCAAGCAACTTCTTCATCATCTCCCCAAGGCTGAAAATTTCCAATCCATCTTCTCATGGATGGCTGAAATTTGACTTTTGACATCTGAAAGTAGAGTGTGAAGATATGAAATTTCAGTTTTCAATTGTGCGATCTCTCCTTTCAACAATTCTACATTTTTTCCTGCAATCGGTACCCGGATCTAGGCTCCAAACAGCAGTTTCTAGCCTTTAAACAGCAAAAAACAGTAGCTCGGTGAGTGAAACGCAGCAAAAATTAGCGAGGAAACTTTGATTTATGGCCAGGAAATTACTCTGATACCAATTTTATAGGAAACACTTGAAGATTTCAAGTAATTGCTATCAAGAGAGCAAAAACAGTCAGATATCTCCATGATTCTAATGGAAAACTAGTGAAAAACAATAATTTTATTGCAAGATAACAAACAAACAACAACAACAACAACATCAAGCCTTTGTCCCGCTATGTGGGGTTGACTGTATGAATCCTTTTTCTATATTGTGTCATGCTAAAAGTGAAATTCTCGTTTAAATAGAAAGATCATTTCTAATATTTTCTAACCAAGTCTTTTTAGGTCTACCTCTACATTTCTTGACATAACTCAAATCTACCTAACCGGGTCATCGGAAGGCCGCCGTTTTATGTGACCACACCATCTAAGGCGATTCTCTCTAATCTTATTTTCCACTGGGGCTACTCCAACCTATTCACTTATATGCTCATTTCGTATTCTATCTCTAAGGGTAAAGCCACTCATCCACCTGAGCATCCTTATCTCTGCAACACTTAGTATTATGCTTCTTTTTTAATGGCCAACGTTCAGCACCATAAATCATTCCAGGTCTCAACAAGAAAACAAACGCCGGAAGAAATAACAAGATACAATTGATCCTCTATTCCAGAGGAGGATCGATCTCTCCCAAATCTCTAGACGCCACTAGAGCCCAAAGAAAACCTATGAGATCTCAAATTTCAGCCAAATTCCAGATGACCTAACCCTAGGAAAGAAAACTATTTAATGCATACAAATCAAAAGGAATTCCCTAAACAGTCCCTACATTCAAATTTCCCTTCTAACTCCCTCAAAAATTCTTCCTAAACAGCTCACGCACGCCCAGGCGTGCATTCGGTGCGTATAGGAGGCTGAAGTGTCCTCCTCTGTTCGCGTAAGCCGGTCCCGTCAGACCTGCTAGACCAGTCCAATGAACCGGTCTAACCGAATGACACAATTTGTTTTTATACTCCTGTGATAAGTGGAATCCTATGCATGAGGCTGGAGGGAGGAGGGTTGTTACCTTGATATTGTTTCTTTTTTCTCATTATGAATGCATGCCCTTGACATGACAATTGATGCAAACTGATTGCTACTCCTATGATCGCATTCTCAACTGTTTCATGTTTAGAACTACGAGAGAGATATAGGGTGCTTGACAACTTAGCTTTAATACCCTAAGTACTAGGCTTGCTTTTAGGGGGGAGAAACCAGCTGTTCTCATGTTCCTTGCCTGATCAATTCCCACCTCTGGAAACAACAGGAGGCGGGGAAGAACTAAAGGTCTTTGCTAAAATTTGAAAGATGAAATGGGACATTTTCTATGCTCCAGTGGTGGTTTAATTAGACTTACAAGGGTCTTAAATTTAGGAAACTGATAAAAGTGAAATAAATTACACACAAAAAAAAAAACCATATTGCCCTTTTAAAGGTTCACTCATTCCATTGAATAATAATAGATTGCTGAAGAACTTCATGTTCGTAGAACTCTTTTTTTGGGGACATTGTGAAGGAATGGTTCATTCCACTACAGTCCAGCCATTAAATTGAACAATTCGCTCACATAGATCTTACTAGATCGATTTGATAGAATTTAGTTGAGTAGAATGCATGGATCAAACAAATCACTAATGATTTCTGTTTCTCTGGGGGAGGTGAAAGACAAAATCAAAACCGTCCATTTCTTTTGATTTCACTGGATGGATCTGATTTCATCATATGAAATATCATACAATGGCCCGCCTAACGAGTTTAGGTCACCTAATGTCGAGTGATCTTATAAGCATCCTTTAGCTCACATAATGTCGAGTGATCTTATAAGCATCTTTTAGCTCACATATTGTGAGTGATCTTCATATCGATGATACAATTCTCTTATAATAGCCCTTTTAGTTTGATGTTATGTTCTTCCATAATAAGAACACCTTTTTATGCTACTACTCTATCTAATGTCATTTTAAAATCAATGAGCAATGTCATCTTGAGATCGATGACCTACGTCATCTCAAGCTCGATAAAAGATGTCTCAATGCCCGATGCCCATTACACAACAACGATGCTTGACTGTTGAGATTCTATGCTCTTGATGCCTTACACGACATCGACATCCGACTCTCGACATCATAATATTAATCATTTCAAGCAAAAATCATAGTCATATAATATTGTTGGATTGCTATAGATGGAAAGGGTTAGGACATAATTCAGGATTATTTTAACACAATTACATGGTTGTGATCTCTAAAAAAAAAGGTAATGGGCATCGGACACATTAAATGTTATTGTCCAGTTTTGCTTTATTAAAATTTAAATTTTTTTGGCTTTCTGTCCAGTTTATCCCTTTTCCATTTTCTTCATAACTTGATGTTGAGCATTAGCAATCTTTCTTTATGCTGAATGCTTTCCTGAAGATGTGTTTTTTATTCTTATTTTTTTATTATTGAGCCCACTAACATGTCAAATGTTGGGATGTAGCAAAATTCGAGCTTTTAAAAGTTTCAAGGACCCAAATATAATGAGGCTTGTTTTTTGGTAATATCCCTAGCTGTTTTCTGCTGTTATTGTTATCTTGCTTGGTTCTTCACTGCATTTCTAACTGATGATACCTGTATTTTCTTTACTTTTCGTTTTGCCTTTTCCCTATGTTTCAGAAATGTTCTTTTTGAGTCAAATCTTGAACTGATAATCTGTAATTTATTTGAATTGCTCCACTGCAGGTCTTGGCTGCAGTAATCAAAGCTGGAGCTGCAAGGGAGCATGAAATATTAGCTGAAATCAGAGATGCTGTTTTTGCTTTCATTCGCAAAATGGAACCAAGGAGAGTAATGGATACTATGTTAGTTTCTCGGGTTAGAATTTTGTATATACGATCCTTACTTGCTAGATCACCAGAGCTTCAATCCATAAAGGTAAGAAAACTTTATATATCTGGCAATTTATCCTTTTGCTTACATGAGAGTTAATTCTTTGTGCATGACTGACTTACAGGTATCTCCAGTTGGACGTTTTCTGGAAAAAGCTAATACTGGCCGAAGTAGAAACTCTAGCCGAAGTAATAGTCCTGGCAGATCTCCTGCCAATTATGATTCAAGTGGGAGGAGTGCTTTAATAGAGGAGCATATTCAAGGATTTAAGGTTAATATACGGCATGAGAAGAAGTCCAAACTCTCATCAATAGTGTTAAAACTTCGAGGCATTGATGAGGTATGGTATGTATGTCTTGCTTGCAGCCTTTTTGTCCAAAATGGGTTCCATAATCTGCCATTTCTTTTTAAATTTGATTTCATGAAGCTCCTTCAAGTCAGGCATGAAAGCTCTTGCTTGAAATAATGGCCTACTAGGTGGCACCTAATTACAGTCCTAGAATGAGGTTCATGTTTGCAACATATTCCTTGCTCATGGCAAGATATTTTTTTCTTGATTATTATATTCATCTTCCCACAATACCATGTCAAAATATGACATGATTTTTTTTTTCTTTCTTTTTTGAGACGTGCTAAGATTTATTTGATAGGAAAACAATTTGCTCTTCAAATTTTCAGCTTATCTACTCTTGTATATCATATCCTAAGCATGTTAACTCAGGATTTAATAACCAATAACCCAACTTACACCTTCTTAACTTCCTTTAGTTCCAAAGTTAAGCTTTAAAGTTTAAACTCAACATATGTAGCCAGTTCTTTCACTTTTATTATTATTATTATCATTATTATTATTATTTGTGTATGGTTTCCTTTGGCTCATTAATTCACATTTGGCATTTGTTTTGCCCAAGGATAACTGTAATTGTATGTTGTATGTGAATGGGCATGGGGCATGTATCTATTATTATAACTATTTTAGTTATTTAGAATCATGTTTCAGCCTTGTAAAGTCATTTCGAAATATTTCTATGCTACACTTTAAATTTCATGACAATACTTTAGCTTTAAAACTTATTTTGTAGTTTTTCAATTAGCATTTATTATTTTCATTAGTGCTAAGATCTATAACCTTTTCTTACTATATTTTGTGATGCTTATCAGTCGCAAAATTTTACAGGTTTAAATTGACTATTAACTATGCCAGTCAAAACACAAATGTAGACTAAAAGTTACGATTTATTTCAAGCGCATGCTTGAAAAGACTTTAGTAACATTTGATGCAAATATAATTTTATCGAACAAGATGGTGATATCTTTTAGGTATTTGAGAAAAGAAAAAGATTCGATCTAAGCATATGCCAAAAATAACTAATTCAGAGAAATTGCAAGCATACCTTTGTGTTTTTATTGTATTCTGCTGTTTTGTCTGTGTTAATTTTTTTGTTTTATTTAGCAGGAAACTTGGAGGCAGCATGTTACTGGTGGAAAGCTTCGTGAGATAACTGAGGAAGCTAAAGCTTTTGCAGTAGGGAACATGGCTCTTGCTGCTCTTTTTGTTCACACTCCTGCTGGTGAGCTACAACGTCAAATCCGTTCCTGGCTTGCAGAGAATTTTGAGTTTCTTTCAGTTACGGGTAGTGATGCCCTAGGAGGAACAACAGGAGAGTTAGAGCTTCTATCTACTGCCATTATGGATGGATGGATGGCTGGTTTAGGTGCTGCACAACATCATCATACTGATGCTTTAGGGCTGCTTCTATCAGAATATTCCAAGCGTGTCTATACATCTCAATTGCAGCACCTGAAGGTGTGTGCCCTGTCAATCCTAAGAATATCTTTTCTTTTGTCTCATAGAATAGGTAATATGATCTCCTTTGCACAGAAGATGTACAACAAATAGTGTTATTATAATATAAGATTTTTCATTTTCTCTTGTTGTAATATAGCCAAGAATCTTGGTCTACTTGCATGATAGAATCATGAACATGTTCAAAAAGATGTATTGATTAGTCTTTGCATTCTGGTATCACTACATTATCATTGAATGTAATTAGAGCACATAGACCAAATTTTGTGTGATGTCTCTCAAGTAGTAACTACTGTTGTGTGCATTATTATAGAGGACAACATAGCTAGCTTTATAATTTATATGAACCATTCATGTGTCTATATATGATGCTATACATTATAGACACTCAAATATTTAGTCCAAATTGGACCAGCTTTTCATGCTAACGAGAGGGAGTTGATCTTGGCTATTAAAGTGCTAAACTGTACCAATTTTCATACCATTTTAAGTTCATCATTATGTTGGACACAGCAGAAAAACTATTTAGCTAACTTAGAAAAAATCTGAGTAGTTTTTCATAGGACAATCAAAAGTAGTTGATCCAGTTCGTAAGAGGAGATACAAATTGGTTTTCAACCCTGTTTAGGCCCATTTATTTATCCAACTTTTACATTTTTTTATTTTTTTTATTTTTTTAAATGTAATGATATAAAGATAATCTCATCCTTATTTTAAGCAATTAGGATAAGGATAATTTCATTATTTTTTTTGGGACATTTGAACCAATTAAGGCAAACTCACACACACATCACATAGTCAAAGCTCTCAATCAACAGATAAGTTGAATTGCGTTAATTGCATTCTATCATTAGGTCAAACACAAGGTGGTTTGACCAAGTATTTTCCCATTTTAGTTGGATTACATAGGAATCAACTTTAAGCCCATATATTTTTCTCTAGTCATGGACGTTCTTACTAGACATTTGCAAGAGGATGTACCCTAGTGTATGCTTTTTGTTGATGATATTCTTCTTGCTGATAAGGCTAGAGAGGGAGTTGAAGGTAAACTTGAACTATGGAGGTTAACCTTAGAGTATAAAGGTTTTCGTTTGAGTAGATCTAAAATTAAATACATTTTTTTTTTTTTAATCGAATACATTGAGTGTAATTTTAGTAGTAATAGGTTTAGTGGGAGGATTGTGATTTTGGGTGATCAAGTCATTAAAAAGAGTCTATTGTTCAAAGTATTGGTGAAATTGATGGGTATCTTATTAGTAGAGTTCAAGTTGGATGGTTAAAGTGGAGGAATGCATCGAGTCTGTTGTGCGATAGAAAAGTATCCCTCAAACTTAAGGGATAATTCTATAAGATGGAGGTGAGACCTACAATGCTTTATGGTACAGATTGTTGACCATTAAAATAAAAACATAAAATTAAGTTAAGTGTTGTAGAGATGAGGATGCTCAGGTGGATGAGTGGTTTCACTCTTAGAGACAAAATGAGAAACAAATATATATATATATATATATGTGAAGAGGTTGGAGTAGCTCTAGTGGTAGATAAGATTAGAGAGGACTATTAGATGGTTTGGCCACATAAAATGTCGGCTTTCCGATGACCTGTTTAGGAGAGTAGATGTATTAGATTTGGCTTATGTTAAGAAAGGTAGAGGCGGACCTAAAAAGACCTGGTTAGAAAATATTATAAATGATATTTTTATTATATTTAGATGATAATTTGACTCTTAATAGTCACAATGGAGAAAAAAGATTAATGTAATGGGATAAAGGTTTGATGATGTTGTTGTTGTTGTTATTGTTGTATTAGGTCCATTTTTCTCTAGAAATAGGCCTCGTTGTATGGACCTTTGAAATAAATGTGATTGAGGATTGAAATTGTTGTATTTTCTGCATTGATCCAAGCTATTTATACTATTTGCTCTAAGTTGTGTATGTGAAATTTTCTCTTCTTCTTATCCTCTCTTTCTCCTTTAGTTATTCCAAACATCATCCTACTTCTATAAGTATTAGAGTATCCTTTATACATCCATCCCCATTAATTGTTGGAGCATTTCTTCTTCATCAATATGTAATTGTAATTTTTCATCTTTTCTTCAATGGCCATATCAAGAACATGAACCCCTTGATTGTTTGGGACAGAGAGGATGTACCTTGATGATGGGTTGTTTATCTCTTGGTAAGCTTGATAAAAGTTGGGGTAGGGCCTTATACAAGTTATGTACTGTTTAATGAAGTATATTGGTTAAAGAATTTGTCAGCTATTTTTTATAATGAAATCACATTAGTTATGTCCTTTTTAATTAGGTTGTATTTTAAGTATTTATGAATATGTTTCCTTTTATAAAACGGATTTCTTTCTATTTAAAATTTGTTTATAATTGATTATTGCTTGTTAGTTGCTTTACTCGAGAATCAGCTATAGGTGAATTCATCAGAACTAATTTTGTGAGCCATGGGTAGCAATTGCTTGTGGATAATATATTTTTAATAAAACTTACATCAAAGTGATTATTAAATAATATTAGCAAGAAATATGCTGGAAGCTATCTCAATGCAATCCACTTCAATAAAATCTTGCTCTTTGACGGATGTATACCTGAAGAACTGGAAGACTTCAGACAAACTTCCAAGAAGCATGATCTTCATGTTCTAATTTCCCATATGTACTAAGTTTTTGTGGACCTTTGTTTATAAACTTTAGCATACTTGGTTTCAGAAACAAGTCTGGGGAGAATACTTGTTCCTATTACAGTTTAAATATTATATTTTGTTAGCAAATTGATGATATTACCATCTTAGTTGGACGATTTATCTTTTTTGTGCAGATCTAGCTGAGATTGGTATTTCATGTATGGGTGGACAATCTGAATAATGAGTAGATTTTATTTAAATATAAATGAAGTAAAAAATATATATGAACTTTATATGGTATGCAATGTAGTAAAAGCTAGAAATGTACAATAAATAAGAAAAACAATTATTAAATAATAGTATTTTGCCAACTATTTATTCGGTACTGTATGCTAAGTATAATTATGGCTGGGTTGCAATTACTATTTTTTTAGTTTAATAGTGGTAAGATAACCGTGCATTTGTGGTGAGGGTCAATTTTTCTGAAATTAGTTGATTTGCAATATGATTTATTTATATATGTTGATAAGGAGAGGAAGATCTATAAGTTTGAGCAAAAGAAACTGGCAAATATGAAGCTGGAAGACTTGAGAGAGTAATGCAAGTGTTTTCGGTCGTGTGTGCTTTGTACTTGTTTTCATGCATTTGAACCCAAAGAAATTGTGTTTACAGTTGGTTGAAATCTGTTGTCAAAATCAGTTTGCAAGTTGTGCTGATTCTTACTTGTATTGTGTGCAGAGACTAGCATATAGTTTTCCTGGCAATTATACTCAAAGTATATTTCATACTGAAAACTGCATGTTGGTTTTGTTTTTGCATAGGATATAGCAGGTACCTTGGCCATGGAAGAGGCTGATGACCAGGCTCATGTGAATAAGTTGCGCTCAGCTTTGGAATCTGTTGAGCACAAAAGAAGAAAGGTAGTTGAGTGTTTGTGATCAATATTATTCTCTGAAATACTTTGAATGCAACTTGATTACACTCTATGGTTGAGTTTAGAATAGCTACATTCTTGCCGACTTTTTAGATTATTATAGGTGAATTTGGCATGGTTTGTTTCGTTAGTCGAGCACCACTATGTTACATGAATTTCCCCCACAAGGGTTTGACACATGCTGCAACTTTTTCAACATGCGGGAGGGCCAAAATGCAACTCGCTCATGCGTGGATTGTTTGTGGGTGCATGTGCCATGAATGTGCAGCCATGCCAAACTCAACCACCCTAAACTCACTTGAGGGGAACCATGCATATGGTCCCGTAAATCATATTTTGGAATCTTTTACCACACAAAGGAAAAAGGTGGTTTGTTTTTCCACCATATAATGTACTCTGAAAATATTTTTAACGCGTCTTGCGTACCCATTATATTTATTTGCTCAATTACTTTATTCTTTCCTGTTTAGTAGACCAAGGGAATAATGTGTATGGCTCTATAAGTCCTTCACTTGGATAAAACGTGCAAAGAAATTATATAAATATTTGCATGAAATACACCCTTTTTATAGACGTTTCCAACCTAGTGGTTTGGATGCCAAATTGGATATGGTTTGAATGTGTCAAGTACTACTTTTAACCTTCTTTGATTCATGATTTCTACATAATGTTCTGTAAAGTTTTCATCTATTTTGGCAATTTTTCTACTAATCAAGTGTTTGTTCATCTATTTTGGCAAAAAGTTTTCATCTATTTTGGCAAACACTCATCTGAGCTGTCATCAAATAATGTGCATTTGAAGAAGCGCCATGGAAGAGAGAAACTTAGCTTGAAACTGAATCATGCATCAATCTCCATTCAAATCTTTGATCAGCATGACGTGACAAAAATCATACGTGATAGCCATTTTCTTAATACATCATCTTTTTGTTTATGCTTTAACTGCTAAGTATCCCTTAAATGTCAATTTGCAGATTTTGGTTTTAATGGCTATCTGCAAAAGGTTTGCACACAAACTTAGTATCGTTTATCATTAAGTTTTACTGTTTTAGTGAGCCTGCACACATGAATGTTTACACGCATATATTGCAATGGGACTTGCTGAGAAAAAAGTTTTGGATTGTCCATCTATGAAGACACGTACACACATATTATCATCTTAATCATCGTGGACTTCCGGCTAATAGGTTGGAGTGTGGGACTACAAGCATCTGAAGATTGGATAGGATAATGTTCTTGTATCTATTGCTGAAAATTTTGTTACTGCACAGAAATTTGGTAAGGGTTAGTGTGCCATCTTAAGGAAAATTTTCATCTGGAAAATTATTTTTATTCATGAATCAGGTATATACTTGTTACGCTTAGCCTTTTAATGCTGTAGGAGATATCAGACCATATTTTGCTGAGCATTTGTTTGATCTGGCTGTAAATGGAATCTGGCATGAGCAAAATACTGATTTCCATTAATCTTGTACCTCAGCGTCTGGTTAACAATGGCTTTTTCATCTATGAGTGTTCTCTTTTTTGGTCTACGTGCAAATATCTAATTGAGTGGTGTGGTGTGGTGCCATCAAATTTAGAAAAGGGCTTGTTTCTATCACTCTTGAATTTAAGAAACTTAGTATGATTAATGTTTTTATCAGATTTTACAACAAATGAGGAATGACACAGCGTTAATATCAAAAGAAGAAGGTGGTTCGCCTATCCGTAATCCTTCTACTGCAGCTGAAGATGCACGCCTTGCATCTCTTATAGCCCTAGATGGAATTCTAAAACAAGTCAAGGTATATTAACTTTTCATAGTTAGTTCTTTCTTGATGCCTTGGAATATGTTAAAAGAAACAGATGATAGTTTATATTGCAGGAGATAATGAAACAAGTCTCGGCCAGTTTAACCAAGAACAAGAAGGAGGCGCTTATAGCATCTTTGGATGATCTTTCAGAGCGCATGCCATCACTTCTTGACATCGATCACCCATGTGCAAAGAAACAAATTTCTGATGCTCGAAGACAAATAGAGGTAATTGATTCTCTTATAAAAAACAATTTCACTATTTGCAGATTTATTTATTTAATTAAATCGTTTGCCGTATTGATTTCCTTTTAATGCTCGAGTTACTCTGCTTAAAAGAATGCAGGTTCCAGTATCCTTATGCTGGTTCCCAGTGAACCTTTTTTTAGTTATTTCTACTTTTGTTGCATATCTGATAACGATTTTCTATAGTCTGAATTGTCAGCCTAACTTGGTAACTTATTTTTCCACGTTTCTTTTTTATTTTGTGCACTAATATATATTGTTAAAGTTGCAGTTTCTGATTTGGTCCTACCTGTTTGGTTTAATATCCAATTTGCTTTATCTTTTTTGATTCGTGGAAGTAAATATATAAGTTTGCTAATTTTTTCAAAAAACAATTTTGGTAAACATCTTCTTTGGCTTTTTATTTTGGTAATGATCTAGATTCATTCAGTGAGATTAGTATTACAACCTCCTTATGGACTAAAGACCACAAGGAGATTTTCTCAGTTGTTTTATGGTGGTGTTTGTGATTTACACAAAATAAGATAGAATTTCATTCAAGGGTGAATGCAATATCTTTTAAGCAAATAGGTTTTATTAAAAATCAATGACAAAGGAATTATACAAAATCTTATATGATAAAGCAAAAAATAAAATACACCATAAAGAAAGACATTCATATTCTTCCTTTTTCCTAAAAAATTACATGAAGAGGTGCCAATCTATATTTCCCTTATTAAGGGAACAAAATTTCCAATTCCCATCTCGACTCCTGCTACAGAGAGACTGGATAGTCTAGTTGTAGCAACATCAACTAGAAGTCTATGAAAGGTAGAATCAAGTGAGTATAATGTTGATTGATTGTAAAAATAAAAATGCAACTGACCTGTGGGGTGCCGGTAGGTTCGCCGAGGGATTAGTTACGCCGTCATGCGCCTGCTAGGGGTGGCAGCGGGTAGATATCCCGTTCCAAAAAAAATAAAAAAAATTCAGCTGACAGAAAACAAGCAATATAGGGTTTTTAAGTGGCTCTTTAGATGGATCAAAGAAACGTGATCGCTTCATCGTGAACAATGATTTCTTTTTCTCTCTGTATTGAATTAGATTTAGCCTTATTCCTGATAAATTTTCATGAATTATATAGCTCTGCAAATGATTAAATTTCTGTAGTAATTAAAGGATTTGCTTAGAGCTAGCGTTTTCCCTAAATGCTCAAGTTGAAATGTTGCAGTAATTTTTTTTTTCTTCACGATTTTCTGCAGTCCATACCAGAAGACTTGCACCCCCGTGATGAATCAAGATCACTTCAACCATTTATTGATTCCATCTCCACCGCAGATACAGAAGTAACCCAATGGAATGTATTGCAGTTCAATACTGGTTCAACATCACCATTCATCATAAAATGTGGATCCAACTCCAATTCCGAACTGGTCATCAAAGCCAATTCCCGAATTCAAGAACCCAAAGAGGGTGAGATCATTAGAGTCCTACCAAGGCCTTCCATTCTTTCTAATATGAGCTATGAGGAGATCAAACAAACTCTTGATCAGCTTCCAGAGGCAGTGAGCTTGCTGGCCCTTGCGAGGACGGCCGACGGAACTCGAGCAAGATACTCCAGATTGTTCAGGACTTTAGCCATGAAAGTACCTTCCCTGAGAGATTTAGTAGCAGAGTTAGAGAAGGGTGGGTCGCTTAAGGACGTCAAGTCCTGAAAGATTGAAAGGTTGGGTTTGAGATTATTGCAGTATATCAGCTTGTAGTAGTTAAAAACTGGACGCTGGAAAGTTGAAATTAGTATTTGGTCAGATTGTTGTAATATTTAAGTTCATTTTATAATGCACAAAAAAGTAATTTTGTGCGTACATAAAATATTCTAAATTTAGGGTTTGTAAATATGCTGAATATTTATTGAATATTTATTAAGTATTTGTTGAGTATTTATTGTATATTTAATACTCAATGAATATGTAGTAAATACATAATAAATATATAATAAATACTCGGCAAATATATTGAATAATAGGACAAATTTTGGAGGAGCAGATTAAGTGAGCAAATCCCAAAAGAAGATAGACCAGACCACCAACCTCAGACCCTTCAACCATAGGATGATAGTAACAAAATTAATTACAAAAAAATCAAAATTTTCAAAAGATTTTTCATTTTACAAAATTGACCAAGTAAAAGAAGATATTATAACAACTACCCTCATCAAATTTCAGAAATTAAATAAATAAATAAAAGAAGTAAGATTATGTATGACAACCACAAATTAGAGGTAAACCGTAATTTCATTAAAGAAGTCTGGTTTAATTGATAGAGAGAATAAATGGCTTTAAGCATATAAGTGGCTTTGTTCCACAAATGCGTCTACCATGACACATTCAACTGAATTTAGAGAAGTGTGTCTAGCCTAGGGGTGTGAACGAGTCAAGTCAAGTCGAGTATTTGCCTTATCAAGCCTGGCTCGTTTAATCCTTATTGAGCTCGAGATCGAGCTCGATTAGTGGGCTCGAGATCGACTCGTTTAGGAAATATCAAGTTCGAGCTCGACTCGAAAGCTCAAGCTCGTTTGAAAAGCTCTAGCTCGAGATCGAGCTCATTTGAGAAGCACCAATGCATGTGATGTGTATTATTATATATATAAATAATATTATAAATATAATATATATAATTATATTGAGTAGCTTGATAAGCTTTCGAGTCGAGTCGGGTTGAGCTTGAACTCAAGCTCATTTATCATACGAGCTCGATTGTAGGCTCGAGCTCGATAAGCTCGGCTCGTGAGCTTGTTAACGAGTCGAGTTCGAGCCGGCTCGGCTCACTTACAACCCGAGCCCATTAAAGAGTTTAAAAAGATTAATATTCAATGTTCATGGGAAGCCCAGTTCATCCTTTCTGGGCCCAACCCATTAAAGCAAAGCAAAGTTATAATTGTTCAATATAATGATTATGTTCCTAGTTTTCCAAATTTTACACTACCACACTCCCATGGGAACTTCGGCTTTATTTGGGATAATTTTTTTAAATTATTATTTGACTTTTTAGATCGTAATCATCATTGTTTTCAATAATTTTGTGTTAGAAAGCTACTCTCTACAGCAGCTTTCAAAAAAAAAAACTTTCACAACAACTTTACAACCAGCTTTATAAAAAGTTACAATTGTCTCAAATGGACCATTCAACTTCATATCATCATTAGTTGTATCTTAATTATTTGAGATCAGCAAAATGAATCCTCCTCTTTTTAGTCTTGATAAGAGCAATAAGAGGTGCTAATTATATTTTACCTATCTTTTTGCACATTTTTTTTCATCTTTGGTTTGCCTATTTATCTCCTTAAATCTTCTAACTTAATTTTTTTTATGTTTAATCTTATGTAAAATTTATAAAAATGTGGCCTTCCATTCCTACTAACTTATAAAATTCATTAAATTTGTTTATATGAAATTCCCTTCATAATTATAGCTCTATGATTTCTGTCTTCCATTCTATCTTTCAATTTGCTGTAGACATCAAATAATTTGTGCTTAGAATGTGCCGAATAACGACCGAACAGCATGAATTATACGTAATTCAATCAGTCCTTTTTTCTTGGCAAAGATAGATTCCATGCATCGACTTTCTAACTGCTTTTCCAAGCACTAGTTTTTGTTGATTAGACGTTTATTAATTTGCCTATCAAAAGTTTAAAAAATAATTAAGTGTAGGTAACTAAAAATTAGATTAAAATATCCCAACCTAATTCCTCTCATGATGGTTGTAGTTTGAATGTAAGTCGTTCTGCTCAAAAAGTCCTATTTCATGGTGTTGTCAAACGTTCTAGATGGAAGTCGAAAAAGAAGTAATTGGTGTTGTTGGTCTATGTGTTTTGCTATTAGGGCCTTCTCTCCGTTTTTTGTGTTCTGTTGGCTACTGTCTTTTTCGATGGTGAATTCTAATTTTTTAGTCTGGTCAATGATGAAGCGACCTTCTGCCCATCCATTGGATGGCATTGGCTTGATGGCAACCATGATGGTCCTTTTTCTTCTTCTGATTGGTAGCATTTATTTAGGATGTGGGATGATGTTTGGTCTGTGCTTGTAATTGCCTCCAATAGATGGTCCTTGTCCGGCTATTGATCGGTTGTATGAAAGATCATGACATTTCCTGAGACCGGTTGTTGTTTATCTTGATTTACTTATTATAGCTTTGTATTTTTAGGTTTTTCTCTATTGGGCTGGGTTGTAATCACCTTTTTATTGAATGTAATTTGGGCTTGTTCTAAAAAAATAATAAATAAATAAATAAATATATGAATATGTTCTACTACAATGTGAAAATGCATGTTATGTTAAAATAGTTTTTTAAAGTGAACATTTTTTCTAAAAAAGAGTAAAAAAAATAGTGGTTAAAAAGAAATTATGGTTGCGACTTGAAAAATAAAACGGTAAGAGAGCTGTCCCAAACGAAGCCTAAATATCTCAAAATAAGAAGTTTATATATCTTTATTTTTTATTTTGTTATGACTTTATTAAATATTTTCTTTAATTTATATTTAATGCCGAATGTCTTTGCTATAACATGAAAGGAGAATCCTGAGTTCAAAAATAAATATTGTTTGAATATGGTTTAATAGATGCATATTAAATGCAATTCTTAGAGAAAAAATAAATAACAATCAAACATTGAATATGATAAAGTTTGTTATTTTTTAACCTATGGTTCTCCTATTACATCATTCCTAAACATGTATTTGCCCAACATACAATTCCATGCAAGTTAAGGCAATTGGGTGAACTTTTTTATGGATCAAGGCACCTCAAGAGTCACTTATCTTCACTTGGAGCACACTCGCTGCAACCTGGGTGAAACTCACATAAGCCAAAAGAGTCAGCCAGTCACCCCAACCTGGGCCACACAAGAGATCAGACTTGCCGATGACTTTATCGACTCGACTGGTAGTCTCTCCAACCACTTCTATAAAATAATTGTCCATGTATATTTATTGAAATTATAATCATTATGTCATCATATCCATAACAGTCATATCATATATCTTTTAGTTATATTTTAGAAGACTTGGGTGTACCTTTTTTATTGCTCGAAAAATCTCATAAGTATAGAATCAATAGGCTATTTCAAGAACTAGAGTAATTCAAATATTGTGAGCCAAATACAAAACCTCACAACATCTATCTCTACGTGAAATTATTCTGTGCAAACGTCGAACGTCGTCTGAAGACCAATCAAAATGCAACACGTCACCCCCTGCTCTGTACCCGACTCGGTATTACTCGGTACCCGGCTCAGTACGACTGACGTGGTGCATTCTGATTGATTTACAAATGATGAACAACGTTCGACATCTGCACGTAATAATCTTTCCTATCTCTACAGTTTTACCAGTTAAGTTCAGACCATCTTCTCGAGGTGATCACTTTATTAAATTCTACCACCCTCATGATTAAACGACAAGGTTCCCTTTTACTATCTATTTCACTCCTTAATTGGCTCCTTGCTTTCCTCTCAAGTTTGTTTATTATCATTGTGGATTAGATCTCATTTCCTGTCTGCTATTCAATAGGAAACAGCAATGTTTTATATTCTACTTCCTCCACGTGGAACCTTTGAGTGGGGTCCATCGTTGACGCTTTTGTTGCTTGATGAATATGATTAAAAAGTTTACTGATGAAAAACAAATAAAACCCAATAAAATTTACAATAGAAATTATATTATTCACTTATTTAAATGTTATCATGTCATTATTACAAATAAATAAAATTTTCATTTTTATGATTTATTTTTCTTATATATTTTATTTTTAAGAAAAATCAACTAACAATAATTTCGAATGCAAAATAATAAATTTTGAAGAGATTTCTATGAAATATGAATATTTAAAGCAAAAATAAAAAATCACAAAGATAAGTAAATTATATTGTAAAATTAATAATTAAATGTAACATTAATTAATGGTGTCTCACTAAAGGACATTCCAAAGAGATTTGGATGTTTGGTGATCTTAATCATGTTGCATATAATTGGAATTACATCCATTCTTATTTATGTATTAAATAAGAAATTAATTTAGCTAACTTTAATCCCATATAAAGAAGGTAGATCTATATTAATCATATCTTGTGGAATCTTACATGTTGGGTTCATGTGCCTTATACTCTAATCTCATCATTTATTAAGTTTGCCTTTGACTAAAATTATTTTAAAATCTCCATTAAATTTTTGAATATGCTTAGTTTGATCCTCAAAATCAATTTCATGCGTAATCATTTCGCCTTTTCAGAGAAAAATATATCTCTCGTTACATTACTAGGGCTCTTGGCGGCGTTACTACCATCTGCTGCCACCCCCGAAAGGACGCTTGACGACGTGACTAATCTTCAATTGACCTAGAAGAGCCATCCACCCAAAAAATCTCCTAGCCCGCACTTGATTGGGCCCCACGTAAGAGACGTTGCCGCATGAGAGGAATTGAGCATAGGTTGGGGGGTTCCTAAACTGTACTCGCCCACCAACCAATCTAAACAATGATGTGTAACATGTATAAGTTGTTAAGTGGCATTCAAATCTTATTTATTTATAAATTTAACATCTAATTATTTTTATTCATAATTTAATTTATATGTTTTACTTTCAATAAATTTTTAATGATTTTATTATGATATATGCAAATATTAAATTACTATTTATCCATCCAATATTAAATAAACTAAATATGAATATAATAAAATAACCTTAATTATTTGTTTTTAGGGAAGGCGACAAAGTTTATAGAAAGTCATTAGTCATAACTAAAGTGGATCAAAGCTTTTGTTTTATATATTTTATTAAGTAATTTAAGCTATCATTAATTAATATTTAATGTCTTCATAAATTGTTCCATGAATTAATTATATATGCCTTTGTCTATGCAATGTATGTATGGGATTCTATTCAAATATTCTTCTCAATGCAAGGAAAAAATAATCATATATTGTACTATATAAATAAAATATAAAATAAATTCTTTAGTGAAGAGAGGAAATAAATCATGTTTAATTTAATAATACTTTTTTTATTAAATTTCAGTAAGATTGAAATATTTTTTAATTGTGAGTCAGATTGAAATAAAGTATCTTTATTGAATTATTTATTATTTGTTTCTATGAATATATATATATTTTTCAAGTTTAATGATAAACACTTAAAAAAAGAGATGAAAATTTTCAAAATTTATTAATGATATAAAGATTTTTTTTTTATTAATATTTCAAGTGATCGAAAATTATAAAAAAGAATGATATTTGATTTAAAAAAGTTTATCCTTGTTAATATTAATGTTAATAATCTTCTTATTATTAATATTCATAATCTTTAAAAAAAAAATCCTCTCATTATTTTTACATAAAAATCTTTCTTTTATTGAAGAATAGCATATAATTGAGATTAATTTATCAAAAAAACGATGATCATATTTTTCCCTATAAGACAATCTATTAAAAATACTTTTCTTAGTAATTACATGTTCTATTTAGATATATATTATTGTGCAGTAAAATATTTATGATAGAATTCTTACGTAAATACATATAGCAAAAAAATATATAGTTTACATCCGAATTTTTACATTAAAATTTTGAAAAAGAAAAATTCATAATATTTGAGTTGACTTAGACGAAAAGATTATCATAGAGATATATTACAAAAATCAGTTTTCTCGGCTCTCAAAATTGACTTACTAAACTCACCCCGATTCATTCAATTAAGGCTTCGTTTGGAACGGTTTTTTTATTGCTTCTTATCATCTTTTAATACAAAAATTTTAATTTGACTTACTGCTTCATTTGGGATGGCTTTCTCTCTCTCTCTCTTTTTAATACTAGAAAGATGCTTTAAGAAGCAAAATAAAAGCTGCACTTGTTGACTTAGGCTTCGTTTGGGACGGCTTTTTTATTGCTTTTTAAAACGGAGTTGTAGTACAATTTATTTAATTTTTGTATTAAAACTCCGTTTTCAGAAGCAATAAAAAAGCCGTCCCAAACGAAGCCTTACTGCTTCTTAAAGCAATTTTTTAGTACAAAAATTAATTTTTTCTATTAGAAAGCTGCTTTAAGAAGCAGTAAGAAAGCCATCCCAAACGAAGCCTTAGACTACATTTCCGATAGCTTTAGTACGTACTGTTTTATTTTTCAAATCTTAACCATAATTTCTATTAATCACTAATTTTTTGTTGCTTTAAAAAAAAGTATACTAATAAGTTGCTTTCTATAACAGCTTATATTATTTTCACTATAATAACATTAACAAGCAGGAAGAAAGTCGTCCCAAAAGAAGCAACAGTCTTGAAAATCATTGATATTCATTTGTGGTATCTTTCTAGGCAATGTTAAATCCAACAAAATTAATAAATAAAGAATATTATATTATGATTTTATCAACAATTATTTAAATTAATAATTCTACTAAGATTATTACGACTTCATTTGGGAATGCTTTCTTAATGTTTTCTGAAATAGCATTTTAGTACAAATTTTTTTAGCTTAATCAAATTTTATATTAAAAAACTACAGTAAAAAATAATAAAAAAGTCCCCCAAACAAAGCCTAAATCTCGTCGCAAATTTGATGATGGCTGGGAAGTCTAAAAAAGGAAAATTTATTTTGTGCGGACACCGGATGATATTCAGAGATCAATTAGAATGCAACAAGCTATTTTTTTATTCGGTAACGGTGCTCAATACTATTGTATACTGGATGACATGATCCGTTCTGATTGATCTCCCGAACCGTCCGATGTCCGCATAGCTAAACCCTATAATTCTCCTAAAAAAGGCAACATGCCAAACAGCCTTTAAAAAAAATAACATGCCAAACGAGGCACCGCACATGTGCTCCTCTTGAACGAGCCTGTAGCCTTCATGTAGCCACTTAGCCAGCAAACAATAATAAACTGATAAAAGCAGCATTAAAAATTAAATATCTAATAACGGTACAGGCAGCCTGTAGCCTGCAAACGCCAAATTTACTTTTATTCCCGTTATGCCCCTCTGGTTAGCTGCCGGTGATGTTCCCGATTTGCCCCGGTCAGAGGTGGCGCTTTCGGCTTTTCCGCTTTGCCCAGTACCACGTGGTAGTTGATCGTTGTCGCATGCTGCTTTTACGATATTGCCCCTACGCACATTGTCCCGGTCCGGTTCGATGTTCGCGGCGTCTGTATCCTCAACGTCCGATTATGAATTAATATTCAGCAATCACATCAATTTTGTTTTTTTTTTTTAATTTAGATTCAAATTGAAAATTATAACTACTTTATTTCTATTAAATCATGTATTTCGAATATTTAATTAATTAGTTTTAATTTTCTATTGTATTATATATATTTTTAATCCTACTATTTTAATTTAAATTAGTATATTGTAATTATTTAAAATGCATTATTTAGTCATTAAAAAATATAATTTAATTTATTAATCAAAAAGTGAAACACAATATATCTAGTCATTGTATCGAACTTGAGATATTAATACTTCTCATCGCAATTTAACCAAATCGTTCAACAACCAACGTAATTTATTAACCATAATATGATCACGATCATCTGAATGATAACACCCGACCACTGTCACCTATCATTATTATCCAAGCACCAATATCCAACCATTGTTGCCCTACCAACATCATACAATTATCGTTGTCATCCCTCCGCTACTTCTCTAAGAAGATCTAATGCAACTACAAGAGACCAAATAAGTTCGTCTAACTTTTTAATCATATCTTCTCTATTGGTAATTAGGGGTGTCAATATTTGACACGACCCGAAAATCCAACACGAATCCGATCCGAAAATTTCTGGTTAGGGTCAATCCAAACCTGAAACGGGTTGGGTTTGGGTTCAACATTTCGACCCGTTTCAAAAATCGGGTCGGGTTCGGGTTAACCCTTTGACCCGAAATTGACTCGATTTTGACCCGAAATCCCGATTTTGACCAGGCAACCCGATTTTGACCCGTTTCTAACCGGAAAAAGAGGAGATAGGCCCGTTTTTTACTGGAAAACTAGCAATTTTTTGTTGGAAACGGGTCATTCGGGTCATGTCGGGTTGACCCGAACCCGAAGCGGGATGGGTTCATGTCAGGAAAAAACTGGTCCGTTTTCAAAAACGGTTCGGGTTCGGGTTGACCCGAATAGTACCGGATCTGTTTCGGATTCGACCCAAACCCGGCCCGTGACCCGAAATTGACACCTCTATTGGTAATAATGAGTGGACTTCTATAATTGCAAGTATATAATATATTAATTCAACTAAATCAAGCCACATAATTTTTTTTTATTCATGATTTTTTACGTAAAAATTCTAATGTCTTTTATATTCTTCTTTTTTATCCATATGTACGTTTGATATTTGTATAAAATTAACATATAAAACTTTCTCAATCACTATTAATTTTCAACTATGCATTTGTACGGAGAGTGCTAAGCTATATATTTTTAACTATTTGCGCACTCATTTTGTTTTTAATAAATGTTAATGCTTTTAATCAAGAGACTAAAAAAGAATTAAAAAATATATATATAATATTTTGATATATTTTTTATTAATTTTTGTAATTAATAATATTTTACTTCTTAATTAAAAAAAAAGAAGAAGTTAGGGTTTATAATGTATTACTTCATATGGTGATGAATCTACTGATAGTTATTATGATAGAAGTAGTTCTTAATTTTCAAATTAAGCCACCGAACCGGTTCAACAAAAACCGGCCAGTCCTTGAACCGACTGACAATCCCACGCGAGGGCATTTCCGTCATGACAACATACTACGGAAAGATTAAAAAAGGCACAAGCAGGAGGCTGAAAAGAAAAGGCGCACGTTAACTCATGATGCCCTGCGTGGCACCGGCGCGTGCGGAACTGCAACTCTTCTCCTGAGGTGGCAACGTGGCGTTGGCGAATTTGCGCCAGCTGGACACCGGTCCGCTGCTTCTCGGTGAGCCCAAAGACGGTGGGTTGAGCCCGGCCGGCCCGGAAACTAGCGCAGAGAGTAAGGGATAAATAACCCCAGGTCCTGGGAAGTAGAGCAGCATTAGAAGCTGAAGAATCTCTCTCTCTCTCTCTCTCATTCAATTTTCCCGCCCCAAGAAAGAAACTAAGGTTTTTCTCCAGGTTTCGATTTCCGTAGCTCTATATTGGCTTTATTTCAATGGCTGCTCGTCTTCAGCGTCTTGTATTTATATTACTGTAATGGCTATTTACCTTTTTCACTTCGTTTTCAGAGAGAAGAAGAGCTGTGTATGCTTTTAAGAAATAAAGCGGGTTACAGGGGAAGGACTCGGTGTAAGGAAGAAGGGGAGGAGATGAACACTAGAATGAGGACAGCAGTGCAGGCCATGAAAGCTACCCCGAAGCACGATAAAGTAAACTTCTTTGTACAAAACACATTATGAAGTTGCTTTTATCTGGATTTTGATGCTCCTGCGTGCGTAAAGTTGGCTCCTTTGTGGAAATTCGTGATGTATTTGTGGGTTTTCGAAGTGGGAATTGAGGGGTTTGTGGCGATTGACTCGATGTTGAAAAGTAGGTGCAGTCGTTTGATTACTGATTGTTTTTCGTTTGACGTCTTGGAAGAAATCGATTGGTTTGGGCATTGGGAATGCATAGGGTTTATCTTGCAAGGCGCCTTTTCTTTGGTTTCTTAATAGGTTTCTTTTTATTTTCCATCAATACTATCTTTACCTGAAGGTTCTGATTGGTTAGTTGGTCGGTCTCTGATCTAAATTTGGAATGGGTTCTTTGATTTCACTTGCCATCTCTTCTCCGTTGGAGAATGAGAGCAATTCGGATAGGAATCCGATTGGGGTATTTTAAACACTGCTTTTTCCTTTTCGGCTAGTAATTGATCTTTATTAAATCATGTTTAATTTCTCTATGAATCTTTCTTGGTGAAGGAGATGGAGAATGAGAAGAAGAATGAGGCGGCTGAGGGGAGCAAATTAAAGGAAACATCAAAATGCCTCTCAAGGAGAGAGAGAAAGATTGCTTTGCAACAAGATGTAATTCTTCTTTAATTTGATTTGATTTGATTTGTCTCGCTGTCATTGTTCTTCCCTTCTTTTTAAAATTTTCATAACTTGCAGGTTGATAAGCTGAGAAAGAAGCTTAGATGCGAAGAGAATGTTCACAGAGCATTAAAGAGAGCTTTTACCAGACCCTTGGGTGCTCTCCCACGGCTCCCTCCTTATCTGCCTTCATATGTAAGTACATTTTACTCGATTCTTTTTTTTTTTCTTCTCTGTCTCAATGTGAAAGAAATCCGATTTGGTATAATTTCCTTTGTATCTCAAGACACTAGAGCTTCTTGCTGAAGTAGCTGTGTTGGAGGAGGAGGTGGTTAGGCTCGAAGAACAGGTGGTGAATTTTCGACAAGGTCTCTACCAAGAAGCCATCTACATCTCTTCATCCAAGAGAAGTAGTGAAAACGGATTGGATTCATGCCATGATCAGTTCTCACAGAATGCAAAGAACCCCGAGCTACACAAAGTTCAATCTCGATCGACCGGTAACAATGCTTCTTCTATCAGCAGCACATCGCCCTCGAAGCGGTGGTCTTTGGATGGAAACCAGCCGTTTCCTTCCAATTGTGTTATCAAAGGGAATCGGCTTCCAAAGAAACCCAATTCTTCTTTGGCTGAAGAACCTAGAGGTAAAGAGAACCAGTTGAATGCAAATTCTGCCAAGACTTGCAATCAATCACCACTAAAGAAGGTTCAAAGCCTAAGCATGTTAGATTCTAAGGTGAAGTGTGCCCATGAGTCTCTTCTTGGTAAGATGAATTCGTGTAAACATCTAATTGGCAAACTAATTGTTACTTCAATCTTTTTTCCAGCCAAAAAATCAAGTAGCTGACAAGGACATAAAAATTGCTAGCTTTCAGAAGGCTTCTGATAAAATGGCATGTAAAGAAACTAGTGGTCCAAACAAATTGTCAGAGGAAATCTTGAAGTGCCTCTTGAGTATTTTCTCAAGGATTAGCTTACCAAAGAACAGAATGGTGGTGGAGAGCGAGTTTTCTCCATCTATATCAGGCTCTTCCGACGGTTTGGAGATTGAAGAATTTCTCGATCCTTATGGTATTTGTTCAGAATTCGGAAGAAGGGACTTAGGACCATACCAGCATCTCCATGCATTAGAAGCAAGCTCTCTTGATCCAAATCTTATCACAAATTCATTATTTCTCACTCAAAGACTTAAGTAAGTTTTGTGAGCTGAATGTGTTTATACTTGAATACTTTCTTTGAGCAACTCATTCATTGCTAGCTGAGCTAATTTTCATTTAATTCCGAATTAGATTATTATTGAAGAAGCTTTCATCTGTGGATGTATCTGAGCTTACTCATCAACAGAAGCTTGCTTTCTGGATTAATATATATAATTCATGTATGATGAATGTAAGCTAAACTTGCTGCCTGATTCAATTCAGTATGATTTGAATGATTATATATATTTGCTTTCTTACTCTTTTTTTTTTCTTGTCATTTTTAAAGTTTGGTAAATACTAAACTATCAATATCATTTATAAAATTCTTATAATTTGCAAGGCTTTTCTAGAGAATGGTATTCCTACCACTCCACAGATGGTTGTGGAGCAAATGCTTAAGGTATATTACTGCTCAGTCTTCATTTCCTTGAACTTCTAAGAAAAGAAAAATCATTTAATCTATTTATTTCTTATGCTATTCAGGCAATGGTAAATGTGGGTGGACACTTGCTTAGTGCAATGAACATTGAACACTTCATACTTAGATTGCCTTATTACTCAAAACATGTGAGCATAATTCCATTAATTTTACTACTGGTCTTAACCTTTCCACTGTTAAGACCAAATGACCATATTTGCATCCTTTAACAGATCACATTAGAGGGATTAAGAAGTGATGAGAAAACAACAAGGACCATGTTCAGATTAGATTGGCCTGAACCATTGGTCACATTCGCGCTTTCTTGTGGAAGTTGGTCGTCCCCAACGGTAAGTTTAATGAATTTAAATTCTTCTTACACTATTTCCTCAAATATACTCCAATAGATTGCATGCCTTGTGAAAGGATTAGAAGCAGGTTGTACACAAAGATACCATTAAGGTGCTTCTTATGTTCTAAAAAGCTAGAGTATAACGCAGCACATACTTGTTTTAATTATAGGTGAGAGTTTACACTGCATCTCATGTACAACAGCAGCTAGAAGAAGCAAAACAGGATTACCTGCAAGCAGCAATTGGCATAGCGAAGCCAAACAGATTGGCTATACCAAAACTATTGGATTGGTATCTGCTAGATTTTGCCAAGGACATAGAGTCACTAATGGACTGGATATGTATCCAGTTGCCAACTGAACTTAGAAATGTTGCAATTGAATGCCTAGGAATGAGTAGATTTGTAATTCCACAGGCAGTTCAAGTACTTCCATATGAGTTTAGATTCAGGTATCTCATTGTCCCTTAGATCTGTTTTTTTCAGTTTGTTATAAGCCCAAAATGGTTCAAAAATGTTCAGGGCTGTCCCATTTTTGTGCAAATCCTTAAGAAAGAAATGCCAGTTGAGATCTATAAAGAGTTCAATTGATTTGTCTCGTAAATTTTGCAGCTGTGTTTCATGCAGATTAGTACTTTGTTGTTTGTATGCTGCCGCTCTTTTGCCGAGACTTAGGCTTCGTTTGGGATGACTTTCTTAATGCTTCTTAAAGCAGCTTTTTAGTAGAAAAATTAATTTTTCTATTAAAAAGCTGCTTTAAAAAGCAGTAAGAAAGTCATCCCAAACGAAGCCTTAATTTGTGGTGTAATTAAAATCACTGAGGGCAAATAAGCTGAAGGAAATAAAACACACAAAAGACATTTTTTGTCGTACAAAACAGTATTGGACTTTCTTTGTGTAAAGATACTTTTCCCCGTTTGTGCCTTAGAGAGTCATTAATGAGTCTTAAATATTCATTGTAAAATCTATAAGTTCATACTGCTATTAGTTTGGATGTCAGAAGTGAAGGGAGTGGCAGTTCTTATCTGAATACAGAATGCAAATTATTTGCTATGAATGGATGATCCAGAAAATAATTTTCTTCCCAAAATACTGTCGACATGAATACAGCAAAATTAGTTATTGCAGCAAAACAACTAATGCTAAATAAGAAAATTCAATATCAATTACTGATCTTATTGTAGGCATTGAAATCAATTGCAGCCACTATTCCGTGTGGAGTTCGGACGGGAAGAATCATTCGGACTGTGAGTGTATACACTGTGTACAAACAATATGTACAAAAAATTGATACACACTGTATACACTCACATATTCGAACGGTTCTTTCTGTCCGAACTCTACAAAGAATAATTTCTCGTGCCAATCAGGCAATAATCATGTACTTAGACAGTGTAATATGTCAATGAAAAGATCAAGAATTAAGACAAAGGGTTGCTATCCTACACAAAATTCAGAGAAAAATTAGAAAAATTTTATTCATGATGGATTTTGGTTTTTCTATCTTAAATTATTAATTCTTAATTTATTTTATGATTATGATATTATATCATAATTATATGAAATTCATATTATTCATTTGAGTCACTCTATCAACTCATATCAACATCACAATAATTTTCAGCCAAACAAATACAACTCTCACAATAGTTCAGATAATAATTTTAATCATATAAGCTTAGCACCAAAGCAGTAGACATCAATGTCCAACAGAGCCTTAGAAACTGCCTTACATTAATGCAAACAACTTGTGTAATATTTTAATTGATAAAAATTAGAAAAATTTTTAAAAAAATATTACAAATGCTACGAAATTTAATAAAATAACTCGAATTTATTTTATTTCATATCTAAAATGAACATATTTAAGAAAAATGTTATATGCTAATAATTTCAAAATTTCTTTTAACAAAAGTTAGTTCTAAGAAAATTAGAATATTTGTTTAACTTTTTTAATAAACCCTTTTTTTTATTGTTGATAAAAAAAATATTTATCTACTTATATATGATTTATTAAAGCTGCAAAACCTAAAATCATGCATTGATGAAAGGAGAGAGAATTGGATTGCAATCAAGATTGTACCAATTGCTTCAATCCAGCAATTGAACTGTCCCACATGCTTAAAAATATTCAACAAAAAGGATGTGTGGTCCATTCATGGAAGCTCAGCCTTTTTCTATGAAGATAACAAAGGAGAAAAAGAGTGCCCTTATAAATTAGGGTTGGTGGGCAAGAGACTTGCATATATTGAGCTTTGGATCTCATTAATACAAAAGGTCTCTGTAAGCAAATAAGGAATAGGATTGATGAGCAGTGGAGTGGTTAGTAGCTACTCCCATGTCTTTATAAAAGAAACAAAAGGGCTCTTTGGTCCCCATTTTTATTCATAGATCCAAGCACTAGCACCTTTTCATTAATCTTAGGATAAATTATTCTGTGTGGAGGCTGGACGAATCAGGTGCAGCCACGTCAGCAATACCGAGCCGCGGTACCAAGCGAAGGGATGACGTGACGCATTCTGGTTGGTCTTCGGACGGCATTCGACGTTCGGTGTCTGCACATAATAATTAATCCAATCTTAGGTAATGTTTACTCACTGTTATTCTAATAATTTGGGATTGAAATATTTTTATGATTATTTTTGAGATAGTATGATATAAAAAAACTAATCAATCACATGTTTTAGACATAGTTTATAAACTTTTATCAATATTTTGTTAACAAATTATTATAAATGAAGATAATTATTTAATTATTTTTCTATTAAAAATTATGATTAATATATTTAGTCATGCAAATCATAATCATACTCCTTGAAAAGTTATTGTTATAATCTTAAGAGTATGATTAGAAATCTTATTTTAATGACAAATATTATAAAAAAGACTCAACATGAATATCTAATCACACTATTTTTTAATAATGTGTCTATGGGTCAAACAAAAATGATTTTGCTTTGAATTAGTCCTGTCAAAGAGGTTGTTCATTGGCATATTTTATATATAAGAGCAATAATCATTACAATTATAATATTTAAAATTTTGATGAGCTATCATACGTTGATATTAGATATTTATATGGTACATTAATATATAATATATATAATTTTAATTTTTTTATTAGAAGATTTACAATTACAATCATCATATACCACTCTATTTAAATCGACAACTAAATATAATATTACATACTATACCACACAATAGTTCATTTAATATCAAATATATGAATTACATGAGAAATATGAGTGACACATTTGATATTAAATAAATATAGGAATGTAATATATTATTTGAATTTAAATTAAGCATAGAAATAAAAGGATATATAGAATGAATATGCTAAAACCCCCCCTCCTTGTTACACATTAAAAAATACACTAAATGCCACATTTTTACATACAACCATACAATAAAATGAACAGATAAAAATTTTTGATAAAAAATTATAAGACAACTTTCTTACTTCTTTTTTAAATTACTTTTTTAATAAAAAAAATAAACTAAAATTTTTTTTAAAGCATTAACAAAACTATCTCAAACAAAACCTTGTATTTTTATTTTTTGCTGAATTCAATATATATATATATATACTAAAAAATTATTATAAAAATTCATAATAAAATTATCTAAATTAGTCGCAGTAATCTCCTATTTTTATTCAATCTTAGGATGTTTGTTTTAAGAATACTTTGATTAGAACTCCTAATAGCTTCATTGCAAAAAATAGTAAAGCCATGAATGTGTCTCATATCAGTTTCACATCTTCTATAGTTACAACAGTAATTAACTGTACAATACAATTTGAATTTTATGGCTCAATCCTAACCATTTAAAGTTGCAATTACACGGATACTAAGATGAAATTAACTAAAATTATAACCAGAGAAGATTCAAACCCCTGTAGAAATCTTTCTTATAATCCTCTCAAATAGGAGAAACTATTAGGCATAATATTTTTTTTCTATAATTATGTATTCTCTCTTTACCATAATATTTTTTTTATAGTAGTTAGCATGTACTGATTGTGTACTAAAAACATAAAATAAACAACGAATGCATAATAACTATATACTTTCATCATCCACACATAAAACTAATCAAAGAGAAATTACTATGTGCAGATTCCGGACATAACTTATCGTCCAGAGGCGAATCAGGTGCAACCACGTCATCCGGTACCGAGCCCGATACCGAGCGGGGTTGACGTGGCGCATTTTCATTGGGCTCCGGACGACGTTTGGTGTCGGCACAGAATAATTTTTCGAAATCCAAAGGTAATAATTGTTGTCAAATGAGGACTCTTGAACTCCATTAAGGATTCACAAATCAGCATTCAAAATAGCAAATTACCAATTCTAATAACAAGATAACAAAGTATTCTATGAAAGAATGGATAACAATTCAAGCACATAATTGCAGTACAGTACAAATAATCTAGTTTTTTTCTACCAACAATCAGTCAAAATTTTCAAAGAATGTGAGAAATATCCTCAGAAATTGAGGAATTAACTAAAGATAGTACTGGTTTGTAGGTGTATTTTACACTGCATCTATTTTCCATTACTCACTATAACCTGGAAGCCAGCTTAGATAAAGCCACTAACTGACCTGTTGCTGGAAACCATAAGTGGAGTAAGGACCATAAGCAGCAGCGTACATGCCAGGATGCTGAAACGGCACAGCATAGCCATATCCCCCATAGATTTGTGCGCCATAGTACCCACCGCTCCGCCGGTTCATAGAATCCACTCTCAACTGAAAAAAAAAAAGAAATTGCAGAAGAAAGTTATGGTATTTAACTAAATAAATTCATATTCTAAGTAAATAAAAAAATATTGCAATGGAAGTGCCCAAATCACTTGAGCGCCAAAAAAGAGAAATCAAATTAATCTAGAATAACTAAACTAGCATCACATACTCAATATAAAATAGAAACAATAGAATTAGAAATAAGCAGAAACAAGAGCAACAAGATTTATGTAGTTCAGTAAAAAATGTCCTATATCCATAAGGTGATGAGTCACAAAATAATTTCACTATTAAAAGAATATGTAGTTCAGTAAAAAATGTCCTATATCCATAAGGTGAGGAGTCACAAAATAATTTCACTATTAAAAGAATGGAACGGAAGGATTTCAATTATTCAATAATGCTTCTTTGAAAGGGTTGAGTTATGTATCACCCTATGCTTTCATATTTGAAACCTCATAAAAAGAATTATCCAATTCATGATTTAGAATTAGCTGCAGTGGTGTTTGCATTAAAAATTTAGATACACTATTTGTATGAAGTAAGATGTGAAATATTAACGAATCATAAAAATTTAAAGTACATTTTCACTCAGAAAGAATTAAATTTGAGACAAAAGATGTCTATAATTGATCAAAGACTATGATCTGGACATTTAGTATTGCCCAGGAAAAGCTAATGTTGTGGCAGACGCATTAAGCAAAAAGTCTAGAGAGCAAGTAAATTTAATGTTGACTTCAGAGGAAGGATTAATTAAAGATATGGAAGCATTACAAGTAAAGGTCATAATACAGAATAATCAGGATTCAGTTAGTTTAAATTAGATGATGGTTTATCCTTAAGAGGAAAGAATCAGTGCAGTTCAGAAGACTAGTGCCGAATATAAGAAGCTTATGGAGTAATAATGGCAATCAGGCAAAAGAAAGTAATGTCAGTGTAGATCAAGGAAGAATCAGCAGCAATCAACGTTTGTGGATGCCGAAGGAATCAAAGTTAATTCAGGAGATTTTATTTGAAGCTCACAACTTTGGTATTCAATCCGTCCATGAAGCACGAAGATATACAAAGATTTAAAGATCTTATGTTGGTGGCCTAGAATGAAAAGAGATGTGGCATAATATGTGGCTAAATGTGAAAAGTGTCAAGTTGTTAAAGCTGAGCATCAGAAACCTAGTGGCATGTTACAATCTTAACCAATTTCAGAATAGAAGTGGGAGGAAATAGTCATGGATTTTGTTACAGGATTTCCCAGATTAAGGCAAAGATATGACTATATATGGGTTGTGATTGATAGACTAACAAAGTAAGAATATTTTCTACCTATTCGTTAGACTGATTCAGTTGAGAAATTGACTTAGTTATTTTTGAAGGAAACATTAGATTGCATAGAATTCTTAAGGCTATTGTATCGGATAAAGATAGACATTTTACATCCAAATTATGGAAGAGTATACATGAAAGTTTGGACACAAAATTAAAGTTGAGTACTTCATTTCATCCACAGATAGATGGTCAATCAAAAAGATTGATTCAGGTACTCGAAGATTCGTTAGGATTATGTATGTTGGATTTTAGAGGTAGCTGGGAAGAACATATTATGTTAATAGAATTCACTTATAATAATAGCTGACAATCAAGTATCAAGATGACTCCATATGAAGTTTTGTATGTCAGAAAATGCAGAACTCTGTTGAGTTGAGTTGAAATTGGAGAGAGACAATTATTGGGTCCATAGTTAATTGATCAAAACATTGAAAATGTCAAATTAATTAGAGACAGATTAAAAACAGCACAAGACCGTCAACAAAAATACTATGACCCCAAGCATAAAATGATATAGTTTGATGTGAGAGATTTTGTATTCTTGAAAGTTAGACAAATGAAGAGTGTTTCTAGATTTGGCCAAGGTGGAAAACTCAATCCTAAATACATTGGTCCATTTGAGATAATTGAAATAGTGGGAAATGTTGCTTACAAGTCAGCACTACCTGCAGATATGTCTAATGTGCATAATATTTTTCATGTGTCAATGCTCAGAAAGTGGGTTATATACGAATATCAAAGAATTCCACAAAATGAAATTGAACTTCAGAATGATTTGACATATGTTGAGGAACCTGAAAAGATATTAGAAAGGGATGTTCGTAAATTGAGAAGCTGAATGATTCATTATGTAAAAATAAAATGAAAGCACCGATTAGTAAAATAGGCTACAATAAAAAAACAAGCAGAGATAAGACAAAAGTTTCCTAACTTATTTGAGAAAGTATGAAAAGTTCGATTTCGGAAATGAAATTCGAATAAGAAGGGAAGAATTGTAATACCTCAAAAAAAATTTCAGGTAAAAGTTTAATATTTATTTTCTTAATTAGATTATGAAGAAATAATAAATTCTATGAAAATTCCCAATAAGTTTATTTATAATTATTTTAAATTACTATGAAAAGATTTAGTAAATAACATATATTATTAAATGGTAAATTACTGTTAATAATTAAATTGCTGTAAAATGAAAATTAAACTTTAATCTTAATATATTAAGGAAAAAACTTGTCGGAAATTTTCATAGAATTTATTATTTCGTCATAATCTAATTAAGAAAAAAATATTGAACTTTTACTTCTTTTTTTTTTTTTGAGGTATTACAATTTGTTAAGATTCAGTACTAAATGAATGGCTCAAATTCATTTTTTCACTCCAAGAAAATGCAAATCATTTATGACCACTTGAGGTAATTCTTTTCATTCAAATAAAATGTTAAATGCATGTTTTGTAACTCCCTCATCAAATTTGGGTTGTTAGTCTAGTTTCCGAATGAACTAAGGGCCAAGAGAACCTGGGTATTTTTGTGATCCATGGGAAGGAAAAATGTGGTAATAATTGATTCCAAAGTGAAAGAATGATAAAAATAAGGTTGTTGCAATGAAGGCTATAAGTGAGCTATGATGCACCGACACGCCTCTTAAAGAAAGTATGCAGTGTCGGACACGTGTCGGACACGGACACGCGTCGGACACGGCATGGACACGTGTCTGACACGGCATTGGAGTGTCGGAATTTAAAACATTAAAATTTAAATCGGACACGTGTGTTTGACACGCGTGTCCGGTTATTATATGATAAAATCGTTCGTTCTATTTAGCCATTTCGCGAACAAGAAGCCCTATTTTTCCGATCCACGAAAAAAATTTTCTAGGGCGGACCAGGAGAGCTCTCAGTCGATGCCAAACGAAGCCCGCTGACTTCGCCTCCCGTTCCTTCGTCATTTCTGCTAGGCCAAGCAGAGCTCGTCTTTCTCATTCCTTCGTTCTTGCGTTATTTCTGCTGTCATTCAAGGCAAAGTTCGCAATCAAGGTCAAACAGAACACCTTCTGCGCGCAAGAGAGCTAAGAACTGTAAGTGAATTTCGCCATTTCTTCTCTTCATTATTGAAAAACCTAATGTACATGCTCGGTACCGCTCGGTATCGCTAAGTACATGCTCGGTACTGCTCAGTACATGCTCGGTACTGCTCAGTACATGCTCGGTACTGCTCAGTACATGCTCGGTACTGCTCAGTACATGCTCGGTACTGGTAGGTACATGGTCGGTACTGGTAGGTACATGCTCGGTACTGGTAGGTACATGCTCGGTACTGGTAGGTACATGCTCGGTACTGCTAGGTA